CGGTCACTGATAGGTCACTACTTACTAGAGAAGATTCCTCCAGAAACGAGTTCAACGCTATGGGACTGACATCTAAAGCAGTAACAAAGCAAGACCAGGAAAGACTTGAGACTCTAGTCTCAAAATTTGGCGATGCCACTGAAGAGCCGAAATTGTCCAAAGAAAACACTGGGCATCCGTCATCGAGAGGAAAAATGGTGCAGTTTACTAGTGTCTTTCAAACAGAGCCACATTTTAGCCGTGAACAAACGAAAGATATAAGTCGTCAAATAAGTAGAACTCCAACTTTGGACCGATTACCCAGCATTCATCGGGAAAGATCGAAGTCAAAGAGTTTACCGATGTCTTCACTTATTCCTTGGTGCAAACTGAAATCCACCTCTATCCACCCTGGCAACCGTCTGCCACCATTGACCTCTGACCCTAGATACAACCGTCTTGAAAAACTACTGTGCCCTGTGTATGTTTCTAAGAAATACAAGGATGTGTCGAGTACTATAGAGAAACTGGAGTCGCTACATGTCCCGCCTAAACAGATCCGCGTGAGTCGCATACAGCGAGAGGCGCGGATCAGAAACTTTCTCAAGGAACACGGGCTTCTTGTAACCTGAATAAAATTTCACGAGATTCTCTTACATTGTGGCAGGGAATCTGTTAATAAGAATGGAAGATATTCTTCCAGTATCTAATATTTCGAGTGTGTGTGCGTAGCAGCAATTGTAATTGCATATATTATGTAATTTAAGGAATTTATTCGCCGACATTGCATTGGGACTACCAGACTACCACAGTAAATAAATACAAAGTGCTCTCATCTAATCTGTATGAAAGTAATGTTGATATGAATAATATTAAAGGTGTTTTCGCAAGTTCATACGAATCACAGTTAATAATCAATCAAACGCGTCATCTATTTCTTTTTACGTTGGATGACCAAACTTTTTATATTTAAAATTTATTCCTTAAAGGGTTTGTATCAGAGCCAAATGCCATTTTAGAGTATTATGTAATTTTCCAATACTTATGCACATCAGATAAAATTAATTCACAAGGTACAACAAACTATGTTAACGCCCAAATAATCTAAATGAGGAATTGATATCTTCCGTGTATATCTTCCGTCTTCCTGAATTTCTTCAAAAACCAAACTTCCACAAGTCATAATGAACATTTTATACCTGCTGTACATAAGCTCGCTAGCTTATGTAGTATATTTCTAGTATAGGCTAAGTGTCCTCAAACTCCAGGGACCTTGGTATGGTTAGCCCCTCTGAGCTCAGAGTTGAGCTGTGTTGTGTTTGTCATTCTGCCATAAAATTTACACCTGTTCAGCCCCCCCCCCCCCCGGAATGGCAGGCTGATTATTACTTTAACACTCATTAATGAAATGGTTGTCTTATTTCAGAATGACGATTTAATGGTCTTTTCAGTTCTAAAGTGACTACATTCTTAATCTTTATTGCAAATCTTAGCACAGCTATTGCTTTCATGGGACCAATTTTGAGATTTAGTATTTGAAGTGATAATATATTTCTTTAAATAGCCATTGTAATTTTCCTATATTGTTTCTATGTATGAGATAACAACTGATGTTTTATATGCCATTGCTGTAAACAACGAGTATCTGTGTTTTATTTCATACTCATATAATGCTGTGGCAAATGTTTCATCAGTTGATTAAAACATGAAAACACACACGTTATAATACAGACAGGAAAAGCTGAAAGAGAAACAAATATGCATTATTCATGTAATATATATTTGTATTAAATTTGTATTTTCAACGTCCGCCAGTAAATTGTGAGGATGCAGTAACGCTGCAAAGGAAGTGACGACATATGACGATAATAGTGGATTACTTGTAATGATATTACCAGCAGACTGTAACAGAATGGATCGATTATATTTAAGGAATAACTGTCTAATTTTTTGATTTCATGATGTGATCAATCGATTGGCTTGCGTGATAATTTGCATAAACGCCGAACGCGTTTATGCATAAAATTAAAATTGAAATAAAAATTAAAATTGATCATGAAATAAAAAAATCTGACAGTTATTTCTTATATTTACATGCTCTTTATTCTGCAAATTCACGCGCTACAAGCCCCGCTTCTGTCTCTATTTGTCCCGCCCCGCACGTGATTTTTTTTTCACCACGCCTTTCGATGAACCAGTAGATTTATGTAGAAATAAAGTATTTTTACTATTTGAAATTTTATCTCGGACAAAGACATTGGAAATGTATATATATATATATATATATATATATATATATATATATATATATATATATATATATATATATATATATATATATATATATATATATATATATTCATTGCAGTGATGGCAATTACGCGGACAGAAGGTGACCTTTTTGTTTTAAAATACTACTATGCTTTACAATAGCTTTTCAAAAAGCTTGCCTGACTAATCAATCAATATCTATGGAACGTATATGCAGGAGAGGTGCTAAACGTTTCCGTCATCAAGGAGCGACATAGTTGCGGTACTTCATTACACAAGATGTACAATTGACTTTCTCTTGAAAATCTCCGAACCAAATACTACAGACTAACGAATATCTTAGACATGCCACTATTTGGTCATTTATTAGTAAGCCCAGGATCTGACTAATTACGTTGGGATGAAACTGCAAGTGCGCTAGCGTAGATTATAATCAAAGGCGGATCCAGCACAGGCGTGCGCCCCCCCCCCCCCCCCCCCGTTTGAATTTTTTGTATGTAGAACTTATATGTTCATTATCCTAAAATCAAGGAAAAAACACCTCTTATTTGTAAGAATTCGTCAGCTTCCGGGGGCTTCGCCCCCGAACCCCCATCAGAGCTTTGCTCTGGACCCACTGGGGTTTCAATACAGCCCCCCAGACCCCCTGCCTTCTACTGCACCCTCCCGTTATGAAATTCCTGGATCCGCCACTGATAATTCTGGGAAAATAGTTAGATGATTCGCTTTAAAGAAATTCATATTACGTGTACTCTCTTACTAGAGGGCGCACTTCTTCATGGTAGGTGATAGACTGATGATACGGCCTCTATTTATAGACTGGTCTGTTTTCCGTCGTTCTCGACGACGAAGTAAATTATGAACAGTTTTAACTGGGAAAGTTGTCTTGAAGTGTTTGGGACAAAAATGCTTCAATGCTACTCTAGAAATCAAAGTAAATAACCTGTACACTTTATAGCTAGCGCAAAACAAGATACTAATAACACCCCCCACCCCCACCCCCGCCTGACAAAACTCACGCGATGATGGTCCTATCATAAACAAGTACATGTATTATAAATGAGCTTAAAATACATCTTTATATACAGTTTTGAAATTGTTAGTTTTTCTTTTCAATCGATTTCAGGACCTTTCTCATAATGAAAATAATGTGCTTTTTTATGAAATGAAAACCAGTACAGATCTTGATGTCTTCTTCATTTTGCCGATTCTTTACTTAGAACCTTACGGGAGTGAAGCCCATTCCTCTACGGGTACTGACCTACACTCTTGTCACTGTATTAAAAGGAAACCCTTGTTCATCAGAAAGCATGAAATAATATGCTACTCGCTGACTTTCTAAGCTTTTTTAAAAAACCTTACCTTGTAACGTACATTATTAATAAATTTAATGTTGAAAGAAAGGCTAGGTGGATAACAGAATCAAGAAGGGATGTCCCATTTACTGGGTGGAGGGAGTTTGTTTATGATTAGACTAGTTCATTTATGGAATAAATAGTAAGAATAATCAGCAAATCCATTGCTTTAGTGTTGCTTGTCCATATACAATGTGTTCTCTTAAAAAAATGAGATAAAATTTACTGTTAATAAAAAATCTGGAGCTTAAGAATCATGTTAAAAGAATAAACTTTATTTATTTCCATAGAAGTTATCACACCCATTCAATAGAACAACCCAAGAAAAAGGCGCGAAGATAATTTACATGTGACACTTGGCGCGAAATGATTGTGTCACCCCTTTCGTAGAAGGCAAATGGACTGATCCAGTAGTTTAGAAACGCAGAAAAAATGTTACACGGACATGTTCGTACAAAGAATCCAAAGAATAAATATGTGCGTGCAGAAAATTGAAGGAATTAAACACATCAATATTTTGCATCAGTTATATGATTCTTTCTTCTGCAAACTGTATTTGTTTAAATGCAGGTAACAAATTCCGATGTAAATCAGCTTGCAGAAAATCTAGTTCATTAAGCATGTTAAGAATGATCGCTTAGTTTCGGATCCCTGAAATATTAATCCTTATACTGCCTGACGCACGTGGCGTCAGGCAATAACTTCCATCATTGACTACAGCTATGTTACTAAACCATGATCAAGAATTGAACGACTTGAAAACACAATTTCATTGTTTTTAAAAGTATTAAGGTTTTCACATATAAGATGGAAGCACATTTCATATTGCAAACCGTGGACAGTTTTCAAAATCATCCATGCATTTCGAATTTAAAAAAAAAAAAAAAAAAAAAACATTGGAAAACCAGTGCATTAATTTTGAAAATAATCAAATCTTTTCCAAGAATTCTCAATAAACATGATCACTCAATAATTAAAAGAAGGATGTTTTCATATCTCCGCCCTTTTATTTTTTTTTTCAATTTAAATTTTGTTATACAAATTTAAATTGAAAAAAATCTTAATTTGATAGAGATATTAGAATAAACACATATATGTTGGTCAGACTTGCTTCATTATACCTGTAATTTGCTAAATCCAGTTGATTTTGAATATTTGATGTCCAACTATGACCTCCTTTTAAACATTAATGTGCTATATAAATATTTGCTACAACTGTGATAGACTGATCAGAATATCTCTTAACAGTAAATTCTATCATCAAATCATCAGACTATTTTAACAAGGGTTTGTTTAACGTACTTAATAATAACTGCCACGCCATTTTATTGAGGGAATAATTAATGTTAATAATTGCTCTTGAAAATTAAAAAGAAAACAATTACACAGCAATGCTTCATAATCATAACACTATAAAGATTTATTGTTGGAAAAAAATATTTACTACAAATAAAATTCCTAAAGTTACTTTGTAAATTTCCTGCTATTACCACAGTATCTTAAAATGTCCTTTGACATAATCATGAAAAAATAAGAAATGTTTCTATACCATATAATAAAATCACACAATTTAGTACATATTTACATGAGACAGTATATATAAACTATATAAGAGACACGTTTTTTTTAATTTCTCAATCAGAATTTTAATAGCTTTCAATAATTTTTCTAAAGTATTATGTCTGGAGTATAGATCATAATGTACCAAGGTTATATCTACAGAATACAATTATAGGTATTAGTTATTAGAAAGAATTAATTTACAGTACATTACACAAATAAACAGTAAAAAATTGACATGAATAAAAATCAAATAAAATAAAATATATAATTTAATACATCACAACAACATAAAAAAAGTCCACTATCCTTGTACGTCTTTGTGCAACTCAATGTATATACTGAATAGAATATTATCATCATGAATCATTTGAAAAAAAACAACAGCCCAGTAATTTGTGTAAACGAAAACACAAAAATCTGATGTTCAAAAATAATCTTCTCTGTTTCAGTGGAAACTCAAAGAAATTCTCAGAAAAACTGTACAACAGTGGTGCATCTCCGAATCTTAAATCTTCAGACCACTCTTATTCCGTCCATTTTACGGTTCCAGTTAACATTTCTTCCTTCACCTAAACTTGTCTCTGTTTTTCCACACAATCGGGAGTTATCTCCCCTGGGTACTCTGGACCACTTAGATGTGGTCAATCATCAACAGAACTAAAATACATCCATCCGTGATCTTGTGATGGAAATAACTCATAACACTGATATACATGTATATCCAAAACTTGTGGCTTCTGTGTTGTTTATATCCCCTGTCAAGATAATGGGGCCGAAAAGCAGGGTTCAAATATTTGGGGTAATATTTGAATTATATTTTAATCTCAGTGATTTTGGAAGTACAAAATATTTCAATGGCAAGCTTTTTGAGCTTGACATTGAAATATTTGGTACTTCCAAAACATACTGAGATTAAAAATAGCTATTGATTTGATCTGACTGGTGTTAGTCTCTTCACAGAGGGCGAAAAACAGAAGCTGAAAGGGTTCAACTGTCATTGGTATTATTCAAATAAAAGGCATGTGGCATTTTGAAGAATCTGTGAAAAAGAAACTGAATTTAAAAAAAGAAAAATAAAGAAGAAATACTGTAAAAGCAGAAATCTTCATGGGGGATTAAATTTCATCTATTTTCGTTGTTAACAATTATCAACGAAATTAAATCCTTGTTAACAATTATCAACGAAATTAAATCCCACACGAAATTTTTATATGTCTATATATTGAATAGGATTACTTTCAAAACCACAAAAATTTGTGCTTCTACAGTACTATACACTAAAACATATTTATAAGAAATATTTATTTCTGTTTATGTGACAATGAAGTTTTTGTCATTTCTAACTTCTAGTATAAATAAGAAAATTATAAACCTACACTAATGACAGTTGACAGCCTTCCGTCCAGAGTCAGTACAGAGGTCACGAGGGTCATCACCACCAGGTGTCACTGTGTCTCCCCGAGCCATCAGATGCTGTATAATTATACCAATATCATATATAATGATCCATCTTTAGACAGCTTAGTTGAATTAATATTTTGATATAAAGCAATTTTACTGACAAACTTTTATGGAGAAAAACTTTGGATTCATCTGTTATACCTGCAAATGTTTAAAACTATTGAAATTTCTTACTTGTGACTGATTGGTATTCTGCTGGTAAAAGTTTTGAAGCTGTTCTGAAAAAAGAAAAATTCATAAAGATGGCAGATTTGTACAAATTTTAGTGGAGTTTTGTAGGACCATTATAACTGGAGTATTTAGGGAACTGAACCCTAGCTCTGCTGTAACCTTGGATGTGAACTTTTACTCCACTAAAAGTTGTCTTTCACAAAATTGAGTAGTTGCAGGAATTTCCTAATAATAATCTGTTGTAACAATTTGAGTTGGATGTTGCTAGGTGATAAATTCATTGAACACACCGAGCTCCCATAATAGATGTACCTGTAGTATGATGTTTAATCATTTTTAAATAATTCTGAAATCTTTATGGTGACTTAATTGTACTATGAACACAGATTTTTTTTTTAAAGCAAACATCAATAAACTGTTCTTATCATATTTTGATGTATTGTTGTGAACACTCATACTGCAATAGACCAATATACATGTACATGTGTCAATAATATTGCACACTTCCACAAATCAGACAGATCACCAGATGCTACAAATACCTGTCCATTATGTGTTTGATAGGTAGGCAACATAAAAATCAATGTTGAATCTTTATCAAGATTTATTAATTTTGGCAATGTGTACGACAGATTAGTAAAAAAAGAAGCCACAGTTGGATGGTGACTTCATTGTACATCAGAAAGTTATTATTAATTATTACCTCTTGTGAACACACATCCACAGATTTCACACACAGTCCGGGAGGGGTGGTTTGTGTAGGTACAGTTAGGACATCCCCAGGCCCCAGGCAGCTGTTCAGGACACAGCTGAGCCTTATTGGTCAACTGGGGTCGAAAATACTCAGCTGAAGTGTCTACAACCAGATACAACATCAGATTATACACAGTTCACTTGGCAACTTTTGTTTGATTCAATTAACAGGTATGCCTGGTCAAAAATAAATTCTCAAAATCACAGATCCATTATACCTTACCAGAGACACCCAGTATTTTTCATTCTGCTATCAATTTATCATCTACATGTACAACTGTGCATTTTTTATCAGATTTGTTCAGAAAATCTCTCAAATATAGGTCCCCCAAAAATTTAGATAAAACCTCCATTCATTTAGGAAATGAGTTCTTACCTTGGGGTCGTGCTGTTTGAAACATGTATGGGGGTACAGGTTGTGCCAGTGGGTCAGACTCAGGCTGACTCCTGTAGGGGGTGAGGTACTCTGGCACCGCAGGGCGATTCATCATTTGGTAGTACTGCTGTTGGGCATTTCGATCCTTTTCACGCTGAAGCTAATATTGAAAAATTTCATAACAATCATTCATTCAAAGAGATGAACTATTAAAAAACACTTTCTATTGATCAAATTTAATGTTTAAAGTATACCTCTTTTTTCAGTTTTTGATTTTCAGAATGTAACTGTACATTTTCTGTCATTGTTTGCTTCACATTTTTCTCTGCACTGCGAAGCTGCGGGAAAGACATCTTTCTTAAGTCTTCACATAAAACAATTGTAAAAAAAAATTCCAATCTACCGAGAATAAGTTCTTGGAGTCCCTGGTAAATTAAATCAAACACACACCTGTCTCTCAAACCCCCTCAGCTGATCTTGTAGAGTCTTGACCTTCCGCTGCTCTGCCTCCAGCTGTTTTCTAAGGTCGTCCTTGACAGACTGGGCATGGGCTCTGTCACTTCTCTCCCTATCAAAGTCTTCCTTAAATACTGTCAGCTTTAATAGCCAAAAAAATACAAAAAATTAGAACAGATTTGTGGACAAGATATAATCTGTTTCTATCTTCAAATTCCTGATGAAATCTATACATCATACATTTTTTTAACTGAAATGCATTTTATAAACATACCTGTTCTCTCAGAACTGCATTTTCTAGTTTCAGTTCCTCACTGCTGCGGCTTTCTGTAAGTCCAACGACTCTAACCCCACTCCCTGTTCCCTAAATACCATAAGGTAAAACGAGAAAAGCAAGGCAGTAGAATCAAAGCTATAAATACAAGCATCAAATATCATTCTAACATCTGAAAACTTTAGATTCATCACCTGTGGCAATACCCTCTGCACTTTAACCTTTGACCCTTACCTTAAGGACATTCACCTCAGCCTCCAGAGCACTTTTCTCCCTTTTGAGTCCGTTAACGACCTCTGACCTCTGATAAGCCTCTGCCTCTAATGCCTCAACCTTCAGAGTTTGTCTGTCCAGTCTTTGTTGTAAATCTTCCCGTCTTGTCTGAATAAGATCACAAAAATTATAGCAACACTGAATTATAAAAAGTTTTTGATTGAAGTAAAATTAACAAGAGTTATTTCCTGTTGGTTGCCATATAATGATAATAGACACCAACATGCTCAGATTCCTTCATTATTTTACCAATTTAAACTTGCCATTGAGGTGTAAAAAATTATTTTCTGAAGATTACACGTATATGTTTTTAAAGCCTCCTACAATTTATAATTTTTACACTGTAAAGATTTTTTTTTTTTACATTCCTCCCACACATTTAAATTTTTTAATCAGAGAAGAAAGTTCCCCATTTTAACTTCAACATGGGGGCCAAGGGGAATAACTCTGACATAATAAGAAAACTTACTGCTGGTGATTTAGAACATTTATTATCAAATGATCATTACTTCTCAATTGTCCTCATAATGAGGCTTAAGAATATCACTGATACCTCTGCCTCATTAGTTCTTTCCTTGGCATTCAGAAGGATCTTGTCAAATTCCTCCTGGCGTTTCTCGTCCTGAGCTTTGAAGTTTGTGATTTCTGTCCGCAGTTTATCATTCTCTGCTTTTAACTTCTCCTTGTCCCGCGTCCACTGACCAAAATAATCCCGCCATTTCTGGGTCTCCTTCTGTAACTAATTGAAACACATTCCCATAACAGATAGCCTGTTTGAAAAACACTACAACTATTCTTTAGAGTTGCCATGGATACAAATAATTACTTTGTCTATGGTTTCCTGTTCTCTGCTACTAACTCTACCATTCTCTGTTTTCTAAAAAAGAAAGTAAAGTAAAATATATTATGTAAGCCAACAATTACTTAAACTACAACTAAATCACTGTATACTAGTATTCTTTATTACATTTTCAACAGTAAAATACTGTGATTTATTTATTGAATGAAAGTGATATTCTCTCACAGTGCGAAAGGATACCAAAATGATATTCTCTCACAGTGTGAAAGGATATCAAAGTAAGTAAAAAAATAATTTCTGGCCTGTCATAAGACAGAGATAGTAACTAACAATCTTGATAGAGCTAAAACTGTAAATATCTTCCCAAATATGTTGCTAAAATCCATGTTATGTAATGTTTTCAATCTCACAACTATGACGTCTCAACCGCTCAACTACGACGTCAAGCCTATGACACTGTTTAAGAGAAGACAGAGGCAAAGGAAAAATCAAAGAAAATGTAATAAACAGAAAATTCAATGTTTTGTAGATGAATATGGAATTTATTTCACTCATGAGACAGGATTTTTTGATATTTTCACGAGTGCGTAGCACGAGTGAAAATATCAAAAAATCCTGTCCCACTCGTGAAATAAATTCCATATTCATCTACAAAACATTGAATATCCTCTATATACAGGTTTCTTTTTTGCCCCATGTTATTTCACACTTGCAATTTTGCACCATTTTAAAATTTGCCCTGACACAGTTGTGTTCAGGATATGACTGTTTTCTTTGAATTTTAAATCCACCCAATTGTGACAAAGGCAAAAAGGTCAAAGCTTAAAAGGGTTGAAAATTTGCCTGCATACAGTGTTACATTACATTACGACTACATTTATTTATGATTATTTATTACACTATAACTATCATAACATGCCCCAGTAATTGACTTTTTATACATGATACAAGTCTACTTTTTCCCTCTACCTGTGCGTCTTTTCTCCTGTGTTGTTCCCAGTCTAAGACCTGTGTCTGTGAGGACATGGATGAAGCGGGGCTCAGGTTGTTGACTTGATGTTCCAGTTGTTGGATCCTCTGTAGCAGACGACGGTTCTCCAACCTTAAATTCAGAGAGGAACTAACAATGCAGCAACAAAATCAAGGACAAAAAAGACAAGTGAATCTTACGTATTTAAAGATTTTTATTTATTTTTATTTGGGTCATTCACTAGGCAGCAATAAGTTTCCTTACTTTTCTTGTTCTATTTCTTCTTTAAGTGCTAAATTGCATGTCTGGAAAAAAAAATCGATATCTTTTTAATCTATTTGCTTCTGATCATCACATAAACCAATAAATTCTTCTTTACAATAGTGGCAACTAAAATTCAAAACCAATTTAAAATTTTTCACTTTTTCAAAAACACACGAACAAGTACATGTTCACAGGTACTTTGCAAAACAGCCATTTTTCACCATTTTTAAACACACCAACAGAAAGCGAACTTTGTCCACTGACCTTGAATTTTTTGGTCTCTTCTTCCTGTTTTTCAATTTCTGGGACGAGCTCCTCCAGGAACTTCCTCATTTTCTCGGCAGGGCCGTCCGTCGTTAGATCCATGGTACCTGCCACCTGGCTAACCTTTATGCTCAGAACTGTTTCCTCCTCTTTGTTATCTCCACTTGGCTGCAATCAACATAGATTACTATACTGTAATCAGCATATTTGAGTGATAGTGAACAAGTGAATATATTACTATATGATATATGATTATCACACATACAGTTTTTAAGATTTATGTACAGTATTTATGAATCTAGTACATGTATTTTTCATTAAATCTGATTTACATGCGAGCACCTAAAAGGACTGTACTAGGCAGTATAAATAAATACATATATCTTTTTGATCTTTTTTTAATAATAGTACTGTGTAAATATTGATGCAGCATATTCATGCATATGTAAATTAAACAATTGAAAAAGAAATACTTAGCCACACATAGAATTAATCCAAATTTGCAAATCTTGAATAAAAGGATTTGAGGATTTGTATCTCAAATCCTGTGTGCTATATATGCTAAGAAATCTTTTATATGTTATATAATCTTAGAGTGCTTACATTATTTTGGGCATCAACTGGATCAAAGAGTTCTTCCTGGGGGCTGCTAATGACCTGTTGAGACTCTGACATTGACGGAAACTCCATCAGATTGAGGCTACCACTAGAACTGGTGTAGTTGACCTTTGTCGAGAGCTGCCGGTTTAAGTTTGGAGAAGAGTTAGTTTGCCTCATCATCTGTTCCATAAGAGATCCAGAGGGGGTAGGGTCTATTCTCTCAAAACTGGAGGCTGATTCTGAGGTATGAGAGCTCCGATTCTTTGCATTGTGGTTTTCAAATTCTAGGGACTCTTGTGTTGGCATCTTGTCATCCAGAAAAGGCTTGGCCTGTGTGGTGTCATCTTTGGGGGGAGAAGAGTTGGACATTGAAGCTGTGTTATGGATGTAGCTCGGAAAATGTTCAGTGGTGTGCTTCTGTTGATTTTCAGTATTTAACGATGGTGGACCTTCAATTTTAACCTTCTGAAAAAACAATTTACAATACATGCACTAGGCTAACTCAAGAGTTAGGGTCATTTGTCTTATTGGACATTCTATTAGATGTTGCTGGACAAATTATAACAACTAGTTCCTTGTAGTTTTAATTGACAGGTTATTAAACTCTACAAACAATAAATTCACAAAGTGATAAGTGGACTAAGTAAATTGAAATTAAATTTGACAAGGAAGCAATTATTGCTCATTAAACTGAGTGCACTAACGTTAAATGTAACCTCTATTTCATGATCCATTACGTCAGGCTGTGATTGGTTGTTTTTCTGTATCAACTCTAATGCTTCTCGGAGAGCTTTGTTTTCCTCCTGCAATGCTTGACACTCTTCTTTTTTCTCAAGTAGTAAATTTCCTGTAATATAACAAATCTATGTTATCAATTATAAACAACAAAAACAATTACTTAAGTATATGAACTTTTTAAACAATGTTATACAAATTTATTAAACATTAATATACATTTGTACTATTATTTCATAAATGAAAGACACTCTCTGAAACCCATGTATGTTGAACTATGATCTTTAGACAGATCACATATAAATTATGAAAAGTGAAATTCCACCTAAAGTTAAGTATCCTCTAATTTTTCCGTGCAGTAGTTCGTTTTCCTCTTGTAATTGCTGGATATCACTAGCATTACTAGGGAGGTGTAAGGAGGTTTGGGATGCATGATGGTTCATTCTTGACGGTTGATATCCCTGGTATAAGCATTGTGTCTAATGCTTCATTGTCATTCTGTAGGGAAAAAAATTACATAAGAGTATTATGTTTATTGAAAAGGAAGTGGTTTAAATAATTTATACACATAATAACTTTAGAATCACCACAAAGTTTTTACATGATACAGATACACAATTATTGTGATTAGTAGGTCACCTGTTTCCTAATTAAATAATAATAAATAAAATAATTCTATCATAGGAAAATAAACTTTAATATGGCAAAAATGATGTGTCTGATTTCTTTTATAGCTATAAGACAATAATTGAAATAAGTAAAGTGTTGCCTTTTTATCATGATTACAGTGCGTGTACATGAGAGTGATCTGTTACCTTTTACACATCACAGATTTTTTTTATACAATACTAAGATCTCTCATTTAGATTTGCTGTGTATGACAAGTAGGCCAACTTTGTCAAATTTTATAGACACATCTCCTCAGCTGCAATGGTTTTTGGGAAAACTTCAGTACTCTAATTAAATTATCAATAAAAAGGCTGAATAAATAAGTATAGCTTTTCCCCCAAACTAAAACCTGTAGTATTTATAGGTCAGAATTCATAGAACTCCCGTAATTTCCTGGGTGTACTGAAACCCATTTGTCATGCCAAGATTAAATCATTGATCTGTATTGGTCTATAAAATTCGGAAGGAAAATAATCGCTAAACAGAAAGAATCATTTCATAATGGTCTATAAATATACCTAAAAAAATTATCTGTTATATGTGGCATACCATTACGACTAAAAAAAGGCCTATAGCAACGTGAAAATGAAAATACATGAATGGGCCTACTAGGCCTATACTTAGACATCAAGGCCTTTTCTTTAAAATGAAAGTTGAAGCATACGTTTTGGTAAACTTTTCTCTTTTGTTAGAGAGATTAATATATTAAAAAATGAAAACTTCGTTACTTACATTGTATTAATTCCAATGAGGAATGTATAAACAGGCTGTACTCTTACGGTTTTCCTTTCAAATTTTTATTGGACAAACGATATATTTCCTTGAGCTACGTAATAAGAATGTGCAAAAACGAAAATTGTTTTTAATATCTTACATTCATCAAGGGCAATATAACAGGTCGAACTACGAAAAAATTATCTTTAAAAATAAAGAAAATGGTTACCTTTCTATTTTAGACGATAAAACATGGACAGTAAGACCAAAAACAATAAGACAGTAAAATTGCGGAATAGTAGGGAAATCCCCTTATAAAGTCCAAATATAGAACAAGAAACAAGTTTGATTTATGATGTCATCAATAAAATCACTATATTATAACAAAGTCTATTGTATTAGTTATTCATTACACATTTATTAATGAATGGGAACAACCCAGAGTTTACTAATGTACAGTTTCACAATTAGGACAATGGATATATAATTATAATTTTCACGTATAATTACATAGGTTTGCATCGAATTATAATTTACACAAGATTAAATAGTCACGAAAAGCATTTTAAGGAGAATGTAAAATTTTAGTGAATTCATGTGTTGAATATTTAAGTACGACCAAAGCTGTCTTATCTTTAAGCCCCTGTTTTAAGTAAATTAATATTTTTAATCTTTTATATATATACTTCATGTATTATAATTATTAGCTCACCTGAGCCGAAGGCTCAAGTGAGCTTTTCTGATCACATTTTGACCGGCGTCCGTCTGTCTGTCTATAAACTTTTCACATTTTCGACTTCTTCTCCAGAACCACTGGGCCAATTTCAACCAAACTTGCCACAAAGTATCCTTGGGTTAAGGGGATTCAAGTTTGTTCAAGTGAAGTACCATGCCCTCTTCCAAGGAGAGATAATTACAAATTAATGAAAAATTATTAGCATCTAGCAAAAGTTTTCTTCTCAAGAACCACTTGGTCAGAAAAGATATGAAACTCATGTGGAATCATCCTCGGGTAGTGTAGATTGAAGTTTGTTAAAATCATGACCCCCGGGGGTAGGATGGGGCCAAAATGGACGGTCAAAGTTTTACATAGGAATATATAGGAAAAAAATCTTTAAAAATCTTTTTCTCAAGAACAGCAAATTAAGCCATGATTGGTCATATTGATATGGAAGCATCCTCAGGTAGTGTAGATTCAAGTTTGTTCAAATGATTACCCCCGGGGATAGGATGGGGTCACAATGGGGGATCAAAGTTTTACATAGGAATATATAGGAAAAAACTGAAAAAATCTTCTTCTCAAGAACAGCAAAGCCATGTTTTGTCACATTAATATGGAAGCATCCTCATATAATGTAGATTCAAGTTTGTTCAAATGATGACCCCTGGGGGTAGGGTGGGGCCACAATTGGGGGATCATAGTTGTACATAGGAATATATAGGGGGAAATCTTGAAAAATCTTCTTCTCCAGAATAGCAAAGTCATGAATAGTCTTATTGCTATGGAAGCATTCTCAGGTAGTGTAGATTCAAATTTGTTCAAATCATGAACCCCAGGGATAGGGTGGGGGCAGAATGGGGAATCAATAGTTTTACATAGGAATATATAGGGGGAAAAATTTAAAATCTTCTTCTCAAGAACAATAAAGCCATGTTTTGTCATATTGATATGGAAGCATCTTCAGGTAGTGTAGATTAAAGTTTGTTCAAATCATAACCCCCAGGGGTAGGGTGGGGCCACAATGGGGGATCAAATTTTACATAGGAATGTATAAAAAAAAATCTTTTCAAGAACAGAAAAGCCATGTTTAGTAAAATTGATATGAAAGCATCCTCAGGTAGTGTAGATTCAATTTTGTTCAAATGATGACCATCCCACCCACCCACCCACCCCCACCCCCCTCAAGGGGGGTGTAGGGGGCACAATGGGGATCAAATTTTTAACAAGGGAATATATAGGAAAAAATCTCCTTGTCAAGAACAGCAAAACCATTTCTCAGGTAGTTGAAAATTTAACCCCCCCCCCCCCAATTTAAACTTTTCAATACTGAACTGATCTGTGCTTTTTCCTAGCCATTGTGCTCAGATGAGCGATGTGGCCCATGGGCCTCTTGTATATTAATTAAATTTACCCATTTGATATGCACACTTTTTGGAATGGGTATCATGGTTTTACTTTCAAATTTTTCTTTATTTAGGGAGTATAATGGACAAAAATGTTGTCTTAAACAAAAGACTCCAGTACAGAGTGGATCAATAACAATATAGATGAAAATTAAGGGATCTGGGAAGGATCACACACACACACACACCCTCACACACACACACACACACCCTCACACACACACACACACACATATTATATATATACATGTATATATTTATGCGCGGACCAAGGGTTTTCTCCAGGGGATGGTGGGGTGGGGGTGTTCCACACACCCTCAAAAACTTGTCAACTTAGTGGTCCTAACCTGAAAAAACCTAATGCGAAACTGGGGGGGGGGGGTTAGAACTTGATATATGCATCATTTACAACAACAAAAAATAAGCCAAAAAATAGATATCAATCAATATGATCTCCCTTTTTTGTAGCATTTGTCCTGATTATATCAAGACTTTCTTACGACATACTCATTATTTTTTCTCTCTTTGTCCCCTCTAAGACGACTCTCTTAAGTTTTATTAAGACTTTTTATCTCATTATCACGATTTTTCTTCGGACACCAACGTTTTTTTTACATTTGACTTTGAAATTTGACCTACTTTTGATAAACTTTAACCTTGGCCATAACTTTTGAATGGTTGGTGCTATGGCTTTCATATATCACATGCATATTTCTTGTGACAAGATCTTCTTTTGGGTACCAACATTTTTGACCTCCTGATCTTAACCTTTGAATTTGACCTTAACTTGTAAAAACTTTAACCAGGGGTCCTGAGTCAGAGTCTCTCCAGAAAATATCAGATAAAAAAAAATCGGAGAGGGCTACATTATTGCAGCTACTTCTCAATGAGAGAAGCAAGCACAAGAATATTGAATGAAATATGCCACTTGTCTTGTCACAATGAATACACTCGTAAAATATGAAAGCCCTAGCACCAACCATTCAGAAAATATAGCAAAAATTAAAGTTTTTCAAAAGTAGGTCATACTTCAGGGCCAAGGTCATGAGGTCAAAAACATTGGTATCAAATGAACAGTCTTGTCACAGGAAATACATAAGTGAAATATAAAGCTTTCGCACTAACCGCGTTCCATCCCAGTCTGACTAAAGCCAGCCCCTACTATTTCACTTCGTTCCTACGAAGTAGGGGCTGGCTTTAGTCAGACTGGTTCCATCCTCGCAAGCCAGGGGTCCTGAGTCAACACATTGCCGTTGGACCCCTGAGGCCTGTTCAACAGCGCGAGAGCTTGCGAACATTTCTATTGGAGGTATAAGGAATTTTGGCGAGCGCTCGCGAACGTACGCTCTGTTGAACAGACCTAAGATCCTTCCTGGGGTACCAACATTTTTGAACTCTTGACCTCGACTTTGAAGTTTGACATACATTTGAAAAACTTTACCATTGGCCTTGAGCTGCCACACGTAGGTATCAGTGTTAAATACCCAGGCTTAAATAAGATTTTTGAAATTAAATATGAACATTTGACCAGCGTGACCCCAACCTAGGGTATGAACCCAGGGGCTGTGAATTTCGCGATTTTGCTAGACAGTTTAACATTCATTAAAATCATATAAACAGTTTACTTGCTAGAATAAATGAGAAAAGAACTCGATTTTTAGAGGTGTATTGTTAAATACATAATTTTGCCCCGCCTTGGGGCCTGAACCATGGATCCATGGGCATGAATTTCACAAATTTGGTAGAGGGTCAGCTAATTGCTTATTAAACACAATGTAATTAAAATATTTTGCAGCTTGATGGCCAGGAAAAAAGATTTTTTAAGGTGTATCATATTTTCAATATTTAACAATCTTAGTTTGATTCTTATAGGCTTTCGAACATGACAAATATTCTTTTAACATGTCAAATTTCAAAGAGGTGTAGCACAGTAAATCAGACGGACAATAAAATACAAAATGTATTTTGTAATTTTCTGCAAAGAAATCTTGCAGAGGAATGTACAGAATAAATAATGCTGCATGCCCAGGCCCGTAGGAAGCGATTTCAGTTGGTGATGGTGGTGGTGGTGGGGGGGGGGGGGGCACAGCCATACATTTTCAGTTGGGGTGGGGGCACTATCAACTACCAAAAATTCCTTGACAAGCCCCCCAAAAAGTCATCATACTATTTTATTGAGGGAGCACAAGTATATTGTAGTTATTTTTCTATAGTAAGCTATATATCGGCAAAATTATTGGGGGGAGGGGGGGAGGCACCCCCATGCATCCCCCGTTCCTACGGCCTAGATGCCTTTGTGTTTTGTTTTTATTGTACATTACGACTGGTCGGGTGACAATCATTGGGAAATGTTACAATATGACAGGTAAAATTTACATTCAAAATCCACAGTATAACTGCTTACTGACCTTACATTCCAAGTTTTCACAATTTATCCTTATTTTCTAAACCAAAACAGCAGTGAAGTTTTTCCTACTGTGTATTAATATAAGTACGTTTTGAACTTCCGGGTATCAGCAGAGGTCAGTTGAACACGTACACTGAAGTATAAGATATTTACTATAATACTTCCTTGTCACAGAACGTTTATACTCAGTTTAAGGGTGTGTGAACCAAGTAGTAAAGTGTTAAGATAAAATGTAAAGAATCCCCTGTATTTTGCTTTTAAGTAAAACGCACTAAAATATGTTATTATATACGTCAAGAAAATTTTTGATTGGTACAGCATTTGGGATAGGCTAATCTTGCGCACAAACTGCAGTATTATATTTCTATTTGTGAACTAAAAGGAGAAAAAAATATATGAAGTAAACAATGCGATTTTTCAGGAAGTACAAAAGTTCTGTATTTTGTTCAAGTCACATTTTACTTAGTCAAATAATTTTCAAATAATTCTTATCAATTTTGCAATTGTTGAACTTTTTTTTTCTCCATTTCCTACTATGTATTTAAGTTTTCCATTTTGCGATATGAGCATGTACTTAACATATGCCATGTATTTTTATCAAAAAATAAGGTATAATTTTAAAACTTTTATCGGGATGTAAACACGGGATGGTTATGAGATATGATCACGTACCAACCCGTATTTGCATCCCGATAAAAGTTTTAAAATGATACTTTATTAAATTTGTGAGTGATTTTTAACAAATATTTGGGTACTTTAATTTTAAAACCATAAAATGATTTTTTTTTCAAATAAATAAAATACATGTATGTTGAACACGTCGACGACTTATGACATTACATTGAAATTTATGACCAACGAATAAATTTATGGTCAGGTGATTAACCTGTTAATTAAATTCGCCTTTCTCAAATACTGTTATATAAGGGAAAACATTTGCAAATGTAAATCAATATTTGTGGTTATGAGTAAAAATGTTACTAAATAATCAAATATCACAACATTTCAACGTACTCTGCAAAATACTTATTAGGAACAAAATATCAATAGAATTTTTACTAACAACACTTTGTTGATAGTAAATAATTGAATGTGATTATTAATACTAATTCACCTGCAAATGAAACGGAAAAACAGCAATGAAGCACGTCCCTGCATATTCCTTGTTAAAGTTAAAGTCAAACATATCTAGTTGGATAAGCATCTGTTAAGTGCTGTAGATCAAAAAAAAAAAAAAAAAAAAAAAAAAAAAAAAAAAAAAAAATCGCGACACACAATTTTCGTGAAAAAGTTATTGACTATTTATAAGCGAGATTTTTCACGAATTTTTGGCTACTGCTGTACATAACCCTTTGAAAAAAATGATTTTGTGAAAACTTATAGGTATATACATGTAATAAGTACATAACATACCACACAGGTGCAGTGTAATTTTAAGTATACTTAAGGCAGCATGCACAGTTTTCTCATAACAATAACAGACTCATTTTATGCAACATTTTTAATAATTTTATTATTAAGCACTGTAACCTACACCAACATTAAGCCATCTGGAACAGACCATTGTTGTGTCCAATAATGCATACAAAAAACAATTTTTAGCAGTGACATGAAATTTTAAACTTGTTTGATTCTTCAGTAATTCAATACTAGTACTCTCCAGTCATAAAATGACTGCTTGATAAAAGAAAATTATTTAAGGACAGACGATACGTTCCTCAATAATATATACACATTGTAATTTTTTTCTAAGATTTTGTCTTTGAAGTATTGCTACTTTAACATATTTACACGCAAAAAATTGAGGTACCTTACCAGGCATTTGTGCAAGATACCAGAGGATGATGTTTCCTATAAAATCCTTTTGGAAAAAAACTTAATTAGCCAATAACACATATTTTTAGTGTTTCAATTTTTCAAAAACAATTAGAAACCAGTTAGAAATCAGAAGATAATCAAAATTTTGAATATTTTCTACACATAACGAAGATATACAAAACAGATATTTGAGGAACGTATCGTCTGACATTAAAGTAAAGGTGTGGATCTCAGATTTTTTTTTCATCCCATAAAAGTGGGATGTTACTTAATCATAGACCTTAGCTACACTGCTTTATTATTTATAGGTATCTTTAACAAAACTAATACTTTGGATTGCAGCAAAAGCCACTATATCAAATTGAAAACTTTATATGGTAGCCAATGATTACATAGAGTAGATGGATATTAAATACACATACAGACCTTACAACCAAGAATAAATATAAAATTAATCAATGATCTCAAGGTTCATAACATATTGCACATGATGTATTTTTTTCTCTCTATGTTATATAAATTGTTGGGAAACATATCTCTAGGATCCCTGGCCATCACTTCTTTTTGACAGGTCCCAAGTTGATGAAGACTTGATGCTGAAGGGAGACAATCTGAGGCTCCTGGTTTTCACTAGGGAGTGCTATAGCAGTGTTCCTGTATTCATGTTTCAGTACGAAGGACACCTAAAACACAGATAAATTAGTACAAAGGACATCAAAACACAGATAAATCAGCATAGAGGACACCTAAAACACAGATAAATTAGTACAAAGGACATCAAAACACAGATAAGTCAGTATAGAGAACACCTAAAACACAGATAAATTAGTACAAAGGACATCAAAACACAGATAAGTCAGTATAGAGGACACCTAAAACACTGATAAATCAGTATAGAGGACACCTAAAACACAGATAAATTAGTACAAAGGACATCAAAACACAAATAAGTCAGTAAAGAGGACACTTAAAACACAGATAAATCAGTATAGAGGACACCTAAAAGACAGATAAATTAGTACAAAGGACATCAAAATGCAGATAAATCAATATAGAGGACACCTAAAAACACAGATAAATCAGAATAGAGGACATCAAACCACAGATAAATCAGTATAGAGGACACCTACAACACAGATAAATCAGTATAGAGGACACCTACAACACAGATAAATCAGTATACAGGACACCTAAAACACAGATAAATCAGTATAGAGGACATCAAAACACAGATAAATCAGTATAGAGGACACTTAAAACACAGATAAATCAGTAAAGAGGACACCTTAAACACAGATAAATTAGTACAAAGCACATCAAAACACAGATAAGTCAGTATAGAAGACACTCAAAACACTGATAAATCAGTAAAGAGGACACCTAAAACACAGAAAAATCAGTATAGAGGATACCCAAAACACAGATAAATAGAGGATATCTATATTATTTGTGTTTTGATATTTGCTTTATCCAACTCGTTGAAATTGGTGTATATTTGCTCGGCAAGCCTCGCGAATATACACCATCTTAACTCGTTGGATAAAGCAAATATCAAATCACACAATTATAGATGATCTATTTATCTCATATGATTTTCCTTTTTTAAAAAAAACTTTGAGATAACCCCTGTTGATTGATTTCTACCCAAATCGATGACATGTGAGGACGTCGCACTGTTGATGTTGACATGCCGAAAGAATGTTATCTGTAGATATAAAATATGAAATCTTGGAATGATATCTGCTGCGTCTTTTAAAACATATGTGGCAATTTGATGGAGATTCATTTTAATACAAACTTTTGATTGGAAGTTGTACCGTGTTGTAAGGACCGAGGAATCATGAAAATTACTCTGAAAAAATTCTGTGTACAATGACAGCCCTAGGCTACTTGTAGATCCATGGTAAGTTATATAGTTAGTATAATGTAAGAAAGTATAGTTGAAAGTGACTAGACTTTCCTGCATGGTCAAATGAATCTTGCACTAACAACTTCACTGCTCAGTGTAAAGTTTCCTACGACATCGATCATAAGGGAAGGGGGGAGGGGGTAACATCCGTTATCGCAGTAGCCAGTAAAAAAAAGATATTTCATTGAGGTAAAATGAGTCTTTCTTGTTTATAACAACATTTTTAGCTCACCTGAGCCAAAGGCTCAAGTGAGCTTTTCTGATCAAAATTTGTCCGTTGTCTGTCGTTGTTGTTGTTGGCGTTGTCGTCGTCGTAAACTTTTCACAATATCATCTTCTTCTCCAGAACCACTGGGCCAATTTCAACCAAACTTGGCACAGAGTATCCTTGGATGAAGGGGATTCATGTTTGTTCAAATGAAGGGCCACGCCTTCGTCCAAGGGGAGATAATTGCGAATTCATGAAAAATTGATGGCATCTTTCAAAAATCTTCTTCTCAAGAACCACTGTGTTAGAAAGTTTGAAACTTATGTGGAAGCATCCTCAGGTAGTGTAGATTCAAGTTTGTTCAAATCATAACCCCCAGGGGTAGGGTGGGGCCACAGTGGGCAATCAAAGTTTTAAATAGGAATACATAGGGAAAATCTTTAAAAATCTTCTTCACAAGAACAGCAAAGTCTTGATTGGTCATATTTATATGGAAGCATCCTCAGATAGTGTTGATTCAATTTTGTTCAAATCATGACCCCCGGGGGTAGGGTGGGGCCACATTGGGCGATCAAAGTTTTACATAGGAATACATAGAGAAAATCTTTAAAAATCTTCTTCTCAAGAACAACAAAGTCTTGATTGGTCATATTTATGTGGAAGCATCCTCAGATAGTGTTGATTCAAGTTTGTTCAAATCATATCCCCCGAGGTAGGGTGGGGCCACAGAGGGCGATCAAAGTTTTACATAGGAATACATGGGAAAATATTTAAAAACCTTCTTCTCAAGAACAACTAAGCCATGATTGGTCATATTTATGTGGAAGCATCCTCAGGTAGTGTTGATTCAAGTTTGTTCAAATCATGACCCCCCGGGTAGGGTTGGGCCACAGTGGGCGATCAAAGTTTTACATAGGAATACATAGAGAAAATCTTTAAATATCTTCTTCTCAAGAACAGCAAAGTCTTGATTGGTCATATTTACATGGAAGCATCCTCAGATAGTGTTGATTCAAGTTTGTTCAAATCATGACACCCGGGGGTAGGGCGGGGCCACAGAGGGCGATCAAAGTTTTACATAGGAATACATGGGGAAAATCTTTAAAGATCTTCTTCTCAAGAACAACAAAGCCAATATTGGTCATATTTTTATGGAAGCATCCTCATGTAGTGTTGATTCAATTTTGTTCAAATCATGACCCCTGGGGGTAGGGTGGGGCCACAGTGCGAATTCAAAGTTTTACATAGGAATATTTAGGGAAAATCTTTAAATATCTTCTTCTCAAGAACAGCAAAGTCTTGATCGGTCATATTTATATGGAAGCATCCTGAGATAGTGTTGATTCAAGTTTGTTCAAATCATGACCCCCGGGGTAGGTAGGGCCACAATGAAAGTTTAAACTTGTAGGGAAAAATCACAGTTAGTCAAAAAAAATGTGTAAGCATCCTTAGTTAGTGTAGATTCAATTTTGTTGAAATCATACCCCCCAGCCTCCTCCCTTTTAGGGGTAGATCGGGACCACTTATGCATTTAAGCATTGCAATACTAAACTGATTTTTGCTTTTTTCGCAGCCACAGTGCTCAGGTGAGCAATGTGGCCCCTGGGCCTCTTATATCTAATTAGCATCTATTTGATAATGCAAGAACTTTCACAAATAGAAGTTTCAATTTTACATCTTGAAGCTAGGGGTTGTGTCAAAACTGGAAGTGCTATTGATAAAGCACACCATGGATAAAGCACAGGTTTATCTTATGGGTAGTATCCACCACACATATGAGATAAATCAGTAAAGAGGACACCCAAAACACAGATAAATCAGTATTGAGGATACTTAAAACACAGATAAATCAGTATAGAGAACACCTAAAACACAGATAAATCAGTATAGAGGACACCCAAAACACAGATAAATCAGTATACAGGACACCTAAAAACACAGATAAATCAGTATACAGGACACCCAAAACACAGATAAATCAGTATACAGGACACTTTAACACAGATAAATCAGTATACAGGACACTTAAAACACATATAAATCAGTATAGAGGACACTTAAAACACAGATAAATCAGTAAAGAGGACACCCAAAACACAGATAAATCAGTATAGAGGACACTTAAAACACAGATAAATTAGTATATAGACACCCAAAACACAGATAAATCAGAATAGAGGACACCTTCAGCCTCGGTTTTTAATTGCCAACAAAATCTCTCGACTATTGGGGTATATTTTCCAACAATACCTCCAACGCGGGAATTATTTCTTAAGTAACTAGTCTATAAAATACTGTAGTAAAAAGGGTTCAATTCAAACATAAAATTCCAAACTGGAGTGCCTTTTTAGTTCAACTCTATGAAGTTGGGAGAGCTTATGTAATACCCTCAGCGTTGGTGTCAGCATCCCAGCTTAAAGTTTTTGGAGCCGATTTATTTTCAACTACTTCTATGCCCTATATTAATCAGAGCTCCATGAAGGATGCTTCTAGTGTGTTTCATTGTACAATTTAAGGTTTCAGATGCTGCAAATTCTGCTAAAGAATGACCAGGTTAATGTTTTTTGAGCAGGTTAAAGTTTTTGGAGCAGATCTCATTTCCAAGTAACTATAAGCCCTTTATTGACCAAACTTGCATGGATGATACATCTAAGGATGCACACTAATGGACTTGCTTCAGATGCTGGATCTGGCCTACATTTTCTGGGTGAGTGACCAGGTTAAAGTTTTTTGAGCAGATCTCACTTCCAAGTAACTATAAGCCCTTTATTGACCAAACTTGCATGGATGATACATCTAAGGATGCACACTAATGGACTTGCTTCAGATGCTGGATCTGGCCTACATTTTCCTGATGAGTGACCAGGTTAAAGTTTTTTGAGCAGATCTCACTTCCAAGTAACTATAAGCCCTATATTGACCAAACTTGCATGGATGATACATCTAAGGATGCACACTACTGGACTTGCTTTGGATGCTGGATTTGACCTACATTTTCCTGATGAGTGACCAGGTTAAAGTTTTTGGAGCAGGTCTCATTTCCAAGTAACTATAAGTCCTATGTTGACCAAACATTCATGGAAGATACATCTAAGGATGCACACTACTGGACTTGCTTTGGATGCTGGATCTGACCTACATTTTCCGGATGAGTGATCAGGTTAAAGTTTTTGGAGCAGATCACATTTCCAAGTAACTATAAGCCCTTTATTGACCAAACCTGCACGGATGATACATCTAAGGATGCAAACTACTGGACTTGCTTTGAATGCTTGATCTGACCTACATCATTTTTTGGATGAGTGACCAGGTTAAAGTTTTTGTAGCAGATCTCATTTCCGAGTAAATGTAAGTACTATGTTGACCAAACCTGCATGGATGATACATCTAAGGATGCACACTAATGGACTTGCTTTGGATGCTGGATCTGACCGGTGTCGGGTGGTTACGTTCCGATACCGTGTTCGACCCGCGTGGATACGACCCAAGTGGTTTCGACCTACTCTAATCAGCTGCTAATATATATCCCTACATGTCAATATCTGAGTACAGGGGTATACACTGTGAGGTAAACAAATGGATATTCGGTAGCTGTATATTGTATGGCTTCAGAGATGTGCGTGTCAATAGGTAGTTGTTTCCGTATGTGTAGTCAACATGCAGTGAGAAGGTTTCATAACATTTTTTTCAACTATCGCGGAGCATGAATGTTGATAAATTTGATTTAGTAATGAATTATATTTAAACAGTTTTCCATAAAAATTAATCAAATACTTCTTCAAATGTACCGTGATCACATATGCACTGTCTAAACAATGTACGTTTCTCCAAATAAAATTACATACGATAATTAACACAAATATACGTGGTCGATATAAAAAAAAAAAAAAGTAGACGAAAAAATAAAATGTAAAACTGTTGAAAGTGTTAATTAATTTCGTTCCGAAGCAAGTAATTGTTAATTAATTGCTAGGGAACGAAACCACTTGGGTCGAACATGGATTCGTGTCGAAACCACGCGGGTCGAACAAGTAATCGGAACGTAACCACCCGCATTCATCTGACCTACATTTTTTTGGATGAGTGACCAGGTTAAAGTTTTTTGTAGCAGATCTCATTTCCAAGTAACTATAAGACCTATCTGAACTAAACTTGCATGGATGATGCATCAAGGGATGATCACTCTCGAACTTGCTTCAGATGCTAGATTTTTACACATTTTCTGGATGAGAGACTAGTTTAAAATTTTTAGATAAGTACATTCCCAAGTAATTGCAACCCCTATCATACCAAAATTGCATCTAGGGATGCACACTATTAGATAATTAGTTTAGCGTGGAACTTTGTCTTACTTAAAGACAACATTTGTTGAGGTGAGCTCTGTAATCTCTGATCACCTATGTTTTTTATAATTTTGAAAGTACCATGAGCAAAATGAAATCTGTATCAAGTGCAAATTTGTTTTAATTCTTTGATAAATCTCAAGCTATTATCATGGACAGAAAAAGGGCAATACTAATAAATCTATTCTTTGGCAGTTTTAAATCACTGCTTATCAATAGTACTTCACAGAATTGTCTTTTTGCTCAAATTAAGAAATGATTTTTCCCTTTTGAAATCATAACTCCTTTTAAGAAAAAGTTCTTGAGTGTTGACTTCAATGAATACCTTGACGTCCTGTTCTGGATTCTGAGGTTTCACTTTGACAAACACTCCCACTTTATTTGACTTTCTGTAGGCTATGACACTGAAAAAGATACAAACAGAAGAACTGAAGGCATTATGAAAATCACAAATACTTAAAAATCATTCATACAGTTAAACTATGGCTATAAATAAACTACATGTAGGAATATGACAATTCATTCTGACCTTGAATCATCTTTGAATGCTTCTTGACCATGACTTGCATCATCATACAAGGCTGCATCATCTCTAAGGGCTACAACAATGGCTTGTTTTGGCAGCTCTACCTATAACACAACTGACTTCATGTATTCTATAATTTAAATGCATGCCATATTAACACAGGGATCAAATTACTTTTCTATAATAACACTTCCGCTTTCTTTTACGATTAAAATTAGGATTTCTTGATGTTAATATGTTTAGATCTTCCTTTTTTTCATTATGATTAAGTTTAGGATTGACACTAAACTCTTATCTCTTGTAATATTTGGCCTAAATTCATTTATTATATCTAGACCTACTTTTCCTTTCGTAATTACATTCGAACCTACATTAAATCTTATTATTACAATTAGGTCTTCCATTTGTAATTATACACTTTGGCTTCCTTTTGTTGCTGTAAAACAGTTTTAATTTCTAACTGCCAATTTCTGTAGACTTCTTTAAAAAATATGATTTTGTTGGCAAATGTCTTGATATGAATTACAAAGCTTTTAAATAAGTATTTGTTGAAACTATAATTCAGGCTAAGGGGTACCCACAAAATCCAGATAAATTGAATCCTACAAATTACATATGTATAATGATTCCACAGCTTACATTTAGGTCATTTTTACATTTGCGCCTACAATGTTTCATTCCTACCTTGTAAAATAACATATCAACTCAACTTAATTTCTTTTAATTCACTTAATTACCCCTTTTAAATTACATGTACATGTACTTACAAAATAAAATTTGAACCTGTGTTTTGTTATTGCATATTGAAATGTTGTATTACTAACCTCCAGTGATTACATCTAGGCCTACTGTCATGATCTATATTTAGGGACCTACCTTAGCAGTACTGAAGTTATCCTCCTTGGGGTCCACTGGTAAGAAAGCAATGCTGCTATTGTAAACACTGGGGTTCGTCACAGTCAGTATTACCTTACACTCCTGAAATATATTTCAGTACCAAGTAACATTTATACAAAGGTTGGCCTAAAAACTTTGTTGACAATGGCATTTCTGTGGCCTTAGATATAAACACTGGATACCAAAATATTAGTTATAAAAATCCAAGTCAAAGAAGTTTTGTTTTGCTTGTTTGAACTTAATTTTAAGTAAAAATCACCATCTTAAAGGGTAATGGAAGGTACACAAGACCCAGGGTTGAAATCTTACAAATTTTATTATAAAATTTTAGTCAAAGATTTAAAGGATTATATTTCTCATAAAACAAGTCAAATGAATTTAAAATTTAGATATGATGTGACTAAAACAGGTATCATTTTATGATGTTGCAAATATCAGGTATTAGACAGATAAAGGAAATATCAATAAAGACAAATTGAAAAGATGTTTGAAAAAATCTGAAAAAGAAATCTTGGTTATCCATATGAACTAGAGTGAATCATAAAATTATGACTGATCTTGTGAAAATGCCACAGAAGACAAAAATAACTGAACCAACACAACATGAAATAACCAGAACATTTCCAGTTCATTTATTGACTAGTTGCATAAAGAGTTTTTAGCAATTTTGGAGATGTGACAAGAAGTGGAAGATCACTGTTAGTGATGAAGATATGAAAAACGTTATTTATGACCTTAATATGAATTTAGCTGAATGTCTAACTGGGCTTTAATGCTTACATATATACTAAGCATTTATGCTGATAACGATTAAAAAAATTGTGTGTTGATCTGATTTTATATATTTACTTAATCATGATCTATGATATCATGCACACTTTGTAGTGTCTTTATAATAAACAAAAAAGCATTTGTGTTCAAACTTTTAGGACAGCTCTCATATTTGCTACTAGTTGTTTTTAATCAATGATTTCAAAAACTGAAAGCTGCATCATAGCTCCAACTTATTTTGTTTGCATCAATTTAACAAAGTACAACAATTTCAGTTTTTCAACTATGATTAAATAAAGCTTCTTGATTATATTTCTCTCTTTTTTAAAATGATTTTGAAAATGATCACTTAATTATATCTTTATTACCTTCTTCAGAACCAGCTCTGGTGGAGAGAAAATTTTTATCTCTGGTATATGGTGCCTGATAAATATAAGATGATATTTAAAACCTCAATTGACTTGAAGACGTAAGAAAATGAAAACAAGGAATGAAATTCACATCAAACTTACAAGGCAATAAGCTGGATCTTGAACTTGATGGATATTGGGTTGAATTCTGGTTTGCTTAAGTTATGCTCACATTCCTGTATGAATAAATAAACACATATTACTTTAATGCTTAACATGTGTAAGAGAGAGGTCAAAATGGATCAACAATGGATAATATGACAGAATGCTGATTAAATAAATTTTCTGCTTCACACTCATTTTTCATTTTTCTCCTCTTTCCATGACAATACTAGAGCATCATTTTTAATAACACCCTTTTTTCTGCAATTAGAAAACAAATATGCATAGCAGTAAGAACCTGGATTGTAAACATAAAATGAAGACAAGAGGCCCACGGGCCACAACGCTCACCTGAGTAACAAGATTTCCCCACTTGTAATACCTATTGTGGCCCCACCCTTACCCCGGGGGTCATGATTTGAACAATTTAGAATCTACACTTCCCAAGGATGCTTCCACATAAGTTTCAGCTTTTCTGGCCCAGTGGTTCTTGAGAAGAAGATTTTTAAAAACAATTTTTGATATATTTCAATGTAAAACTTGGATTTCCAATTGTGGCCACACTCACCCCCCCCCCCCCCCCTACACTACCCCAGGATGCTTCCCACTTAAGTTTCAGCTTTTCTGGTACAATGGTTCTTGAGAAGAAGATTTTTCTTAAATATTTCAATGTAAAACTTGGATTCCTTATTGCAGCCCCACCATTTCCCCGGCAGTCATAATTTGAACAATTTAGAATCTACACTACCTCAGGATGCTTCCACATAAGTTTCCACTTTTTCTGGCCCGCTGGTTCTTGAGAAGAAGATTTTTTCCAATAGATTTCAATGTAAAACATGGATTCCTTATTGTGGCCCTACCCTATCCCATGGGGTCATGATTTTAACAATTTAAAATCTACATTCCACCAGGATGCTTTCATAAGTTTCAGTTTTTCTAGCCAAATGGTTCTTGAGAAGAAGATTTTAAAGATTTTTCCTGTATATATTTCAATGTAAAACTTGGATTCCCTATTGTGGCCACACCCTACCCCCCGGGATCATGATTTCAACAATTTAGAATCTACATTACCCTAGATTGCTTCCACGTAAGTTACAGCTTTTCTGGCCCAGTGGTTCTTGAGAAGAAGATTTTAAAGATTCTTCCTATTTCAATGTAAAACATGAATTCCCTATTGTGGCTCCGCCCTACCGCCGGGAGTCATGATTTGAACAATTTAGAATCTACACTACCCCAGGATGCTTCCACAAAAGTTTCAGCTTTTCTGGCCCAGTGGTTCTTGAGAAGAAGATTTTTTAATGACCCCACCCTATTTTTGTCTTTTCTTGATTATCTCCCCTTATTAGGGGGCTTGGTCTTTCATTTTAACAATTTATACTACCCTTCACCCAAAGATGCTTTGTACCAACTTTTGTTAAATTTGGCCCAGTGGTTCTTGAGAAGAAGTTAAAAATGTGAAAAGTTTACAGACAGATGGACGGACAATGGTTAATCAGAAAAGCTCACGAGCTTTTAGCTCAGGTGAGCTAAAAAGTGTAGTCCTTACTTCTAATTTTTAATATAATAATAACAAACTGAACACAAGGCCCAAGGGCCCAGAATCACTCATCTGATAAATTACACAATAGTGTCATTGTGACCTACTTCTGAATTGGATTTGTGGGGTTCTAAGGCACCAAGAAGAATTGAGGATTCTATAAAGCCTCTTATTTATTGAAATACACGTACTTAGCACAAATGTTTTAAAAATGAATAGCTATAATATTTATATTATATAAAATGCAAAAAATAGGTCAAAATGATTTTTTTCTACTTTTGATTCAACATATAATGGGTGTGTTCACAATTTTTCCATTGGTACAAATATCGATTCTACCATTGGCTGTCTTTGGCACCAATGTTAAATAATGGTACAATTGGTTGCCTTAAATCTGTGAACGGCATATTGGTAAACCAAGGGCAAAACAGCCAAAGGTTATACCAACGGTTGCCAAAGGTGACTAATGGTACCACTTGGTTACTAATGGTCACCTGTGGGAATCAATAGTTACCAACGGCAAATGTTTGTTTTTTACCATTTTCAGTTCAGAAATAAGAAATTCAATAAAAAGTCTTTCTGTTGCACTACTTAAAATAAAAAATGAAAATTATTCTTATGGACATAACTTTATTTGTCTTCAGGTGATATTTTTTTGCCAAATAAATTTTCATTTGTACCAAATGTGCAATACTATGTTGAGATAACACTATATTCACCCTTAAATAGTTTTTCAATATGAAGTGGAATTTATATGAGGAAACTTCACTTGCGTTACCAGGAACGGTCCTGGTAGACATCTTGGCGGTGACTCTAATAAACGAAAAATCTGCGTTGGTAATTCTGCCGCGAATGTGGTTGGCCTGCAGAATTGGTAACCAATAAAAGTTACCAATGGTAAACATTGGTACCAATGTTTTGCCAATGGTAAATTGCACCACCAGTATCAACCAATGGAAGAATTGTGAATGCACCCGATGAAGTCCTCCAGTTTGATGATCCTAAACTCATAATATCAAAGATATAAAGATTTAAAAATGAACAGTTGCAAAAATTTTTAAAATAGGTCAATGTGACCTTCTTTTGGTCAACATATCCTGAGGTCCTCACATGTATCAACTAACAAGGTTTGCTTCTCCTAGACCTAGTGCTTACCTTACACCTAAGGGACCTCCTGATGAGCAGGTGTTTATGTAGGGGATACAGGGAGCTGCTCTCACTGGGCTGGAACTCCGGGGAAGCATGTCTCTGGCTGATCGTGCTCACTGAAGAAATTGTCAACAGTTTATCCAAGTATGCCATGACTGAGGCAACATATAATAAACAAAATATCATAGTACTCACTCTTATCTAATTGTATTGGTTCTGTAAATATACTCTCTGGGAGTGGATCAAACATTTTGACAGTCTCAGATGGCTTTACACTTGCAAAGCTGACTTCTTCATTTTCCTTGATGCTGAAATGTAATGAAAGTTGTAATTTTCTAAATATTTCATATAAAATGGTTTAATGCTTTTATATGGTACAAATCAAAAATCATCAGAAATATTCTGAAAAATGTATATTTACGTTAAACTGGCCAGATTGCCCTGCTTCCTCTTTGCAGCAACAGAAACCATTCCATATTTATCCATGCCAGCCTAAGTGATATAAAAAAGAATGACATGTCTGCAATATCAAAATAGATATACATACATGTATATAAACATATCAATTAGATAAACATATATAAAAACAGGATTTATAATTCTGCCTTACTGTGTAGCTGAGGTAACTTCTCCTTCTGACATATTTCTTCCGTTCCTTTTCAGCTTTTTCCTTCTGCGCAATTTTCTCATATGTTTCCAGCAAAGAGAAAATCTGAATAATTACATGTATAATGCTAAATTTACAATCATAACAAGCTCTTTTGAAAATGAAACTAGAGATGTCTTCACAAAATTCTGTGTCAAGTTGGGTTGGAAGTGGCCACATGACTCTTGAGAAAAAAGTCAAAAATGTAAAAAGTTAATCACAAAAGACAAGACCTGACAGACAATCAACAAAGTTTGAATTTTCCCCCAATAAGCTCTTTTGAGCTGAACAGCTCAGGTGAGCCAAAAAAAAGTGTGGCTTAGACAGTTTGAGGTAGTAATGCAATACAATAAAACTGGGTTTTAGTGAAGTCCTGTGGACCTGTGAATTTACTTCGTTATATCAGTAATTCCTTATAGCCTTATAACAAATTCTTTAAAGTATATATATAGTGAATTCATAATATACATATTTTCCTTCAAGTATGACAGCCATATATGTTTAGATAAGTATTAAATACAAAAGTTGTCTTGAAAAACTAGATTTTTCAGATGATTTTAATTTCAAAATGCTTACAAAAACTAATGTCAAATCAGTATTTTAATTTTTGAGATTTTTGAGAATTCTTTAAAAAGATATATGATTTTCATTATTTTTAACCTCTGCTTTACACAAAATCTATTCGCTATATCCATAATTTTTTTTTTTATATCAGAGTTCATTATAATTAACCCTAAAATTTTGCTAGGAATTGTTAAGAATTTTGCCAGGGATTCCAAAATACTTCACTATATCTGTAAATTTGCAATATCCATATTAGTACTAAATAAGTTTTACTGTATTTATAACTGCACTCCCTGAGAAAACTTGGAGATATTCAATTTTAATCTTCTTGTGTTCATCTAATGTTGATAGAATTTTTTCTCTCTGATGAATACTGTTGCCAGAGTGCAGTTATAGATATTGAATTACAATACCTGTCTACCTCAACTTTGCATCAAGTTCAAATCCTTGTAGGTATAATTATTCCATAACATTGCAAACTATCTCACTTTTGCTTGGAGTTCAGATCTCATTTGTAAGTGTATATATTGAATTACATTGTACACTGGTTTGGCTTTGCTTGGAGTTCAAATTTCATTAGTAAGTGTATATATTGCAATACATTGCACACTAGTTAAGCTTTGCTTTGAGTTCAGATCTTGTAGGTGTAAATATTGCATTACATTGCAAACAAGTTCAGATCTTACTTGTAGGTATTGTAACACCTCTCATTTACTGTATCCCCAAAGTACATGTTTGTTTTACATGTACAATCAAGAGATACATCCATATGAAATTTTTACAATAAAACACACCTGCTTAGCATCCTTGTTCTCCAAGTCTTCCCATCCGCCACTGGCTGTAAAACATAATTATCTCTTTGTAAAGAATATCAAACTTACTTAAAAAAATACATAATTATTTTTCTTGTAATTCTTTTTTGTAAAATTTATTTATAATATATATTGACTTGTTTAAAACTCAATATGTACTGGTATATTCTATTTCAAATGTATCAGATGAGAAGATGATTGTAAACTGACCCATTGGTTTGTCCTGGATCCCCACATCTCTGGTGGTCCACCTACAGAAACCACACACCATGTAGTACATCTTCTTAGGTGTGGTCTTGTTAGGGTCTTCAGGATCAGGTACACTTGTACTAGTGGCCCTGGTTGTCAATGTATGTCCACAGCTTGGACAATCAAAACAATTACTGCACCTGTTAAACATATTTGCAATGTACAAGTGTACTGCAATATATATCAAATTGAACAATTGTATTAAACAGTTTAATAGTATACAGTAAAATAAAAATATACAAGCTATTGCAAATTCATACGTTGAAGAAACTAATAAATTTTTTTTCAATTCATTGCTAGAAAATATGTGTAAAATAAATATTAATTTAACAAATTAACAATATAATTTTGCTTTACAGAATAATGTTTCATAATTATAAAGTAATTTACTAATACTTGTTTAGTACAACATTTTATAGCAAATCAAAAGAATGAGATATAGTGAAGCTTTTTTGGATTCTTGGCAAAATTTTTAACATTTCCTTGCAAAATTTTATGGTTATAATGATCATGTGATGATCTATAATAATGAATTTATGAATAAAGCAAAGTGACTTTTGGTCTTGTAGATAGAGGTTAAAAATAACAAAATTTACACCTTTTATAGCAAATTTCAAATACCCAAAAGTTTAAAATATTGAACAGACATTATTTTTTGTAAGTATTTATATTAGAAATTTAATAAATCAGAAAACTTTAGTATGCTAACTTGCAGTCAAGGTAATTTTGTATTTAATACTTCCATATACATATTTTGTAGTCATGCCTGAAGGAAAAGGATGTGGATATAAAGAATTGTGGACAAAGTGAAGTAAATTCACAGGTCCCTAGGACTTCACTAAAACCGAGTTTTACTGTATTGAAGAAAGTAACTAGGGTGAATTCACCATGCATCACACAAATACCTTGAATTGGACAACTTTTACAAATTAGATCATGAAGTAAAATAAGCAGAAATACTGGTAGAATATTTTTAAATGGGTGTAATGTTCAAAGACAAAATATTGTAGTTCATAAGGCAGATTTATAGTTTTGGTTCATATCTAATCAAAGGGAATTAATCCCTGTGTAAGTGATGTGACAATACATAACTTTAAAATGACAACTTGGAAAAATGTAGCTTTTTAAACTTTAAACAGTCCATGACATACTTTATTTGTCACTCTTTGAGAATTATATAACCCATTTTTCTATACATGTAATTTTCACCAATGCAAAACATCATTACAGGTTGCAGGCTCTATTTTTAGAAACAGACCTCTTTCAAGAATGACCTATTGTCACTGTGGATTGGACACAATTTCACCATGCATCGGACTATATGTAACATATGAATATTGGTATTTTGAAGGTAAATATGTTACTGTCTAAATTGATAGGGTAGCACATTTTATTTCAGTCCATTTTAAATTTCGTAATCAAAGTTTTAAAGATTAAATAAATCTTTGATTTTGATTTATAACTTATAGTTTTAATTGCAGTGAAGCTTAAATATCTGACTTCATTTCTCAATGTGGTGCTTATTCAAATTAAGTTTAATTTCTTTCTAGCATTATCAGAATGTCAATCCAAGGTATATTCTGTCTGATCCATGGTTAAAATCCTGACTTGTTCTGTTTTCCCATATAGTTTGAAAATAATTTACACTTATCCACTGGCTGTGCGTGGAATAGCTCTATTATCAAACCCGCGACAGGAACTATTCCCCGAGGGCTTGCCCAAGGGGAATAGTTCCTGTCAAGGGTTTGATGAAAGAGCTATCCCACACACAGTCTGTGGATATGTGTTTTATTATACTGATGTATATTATAATTTCTGAGGTATTACCTGATACTACAGTTTCATAGGGAAAACATGAAAAGAATAACTAGAAATCTGACCAGTCAGCAAGGGCCCCGCTGAGGGTTAGAAATATAAGGGTGCAGATTAGGGGATGAGAATTTTACTTGATTCCGAAAAATTTCAAAATATATAAAGAATAAGCAACAGCAACTGCTAAATATCCAACAATCTGTAAATAGCATCCTTGTATTTACATAAGGCAGTAAAAAACATCATATCTATAATAACTCAATTAAATGTATATTTAAAAATGAATGAAGCATGTGTTTTCTAAAATGCCAGCCTTCAGTGAATGCAAATATTACCCAGGCTTGACCTTAACTTCAAAACAAATATCAGTTGCAGACAAAGGTGTTAATTAATCTTAAAGTGACAGAAAGATAACCCTCTAAAATATTCTGCAAACCAGCAAGATAATCAAACCCACAGGATTAATTATACTGCTCTCTCAACCTTTTGTTCTAAGTTTACAATAAGAACTTTTTCAGCAATGATAGAATGAGGTTATTACCGGTATCTGAATACCTGTTAAAATAATTAGTATTCTTGAATTTACATAAGGCAGAAAAAAGAAAAAAGAAAATAATAATAAAAACGATATCTTTATCTATATCTTGTTTTTAGAATTCAATAAAATCATAACTCATTGTGTATTTTAACAAAATAAAGTATGAACATTATTTAAATCCACATTTCAGAGAATGTAAACATCATTCAGAATTGACCTTAACTTCAATACAAACTTCATTTGCAGACAGAGGTGTTAATTAATCTCAATGTGGCAGATAAAGATAAATGCTTTGGATTTTCTTCAAGAGGAAAGTTAATTAATCCCAAGAGACTCATTGCAGCCTTTCATAGTTTACAATAGGAACATTCTCAGCAGTTATCTCTCTTTGCCCATTCACTCTTATATAAAGTTAAGGAACATACCCCACCACCCCAGCTCCAAACCGGAAGACATAGAGAACCAAACTTAGCATTAAAATATGTCTTACTGCCTATTCAACCAAAATACCAAATTTGAACTTAATTGGTCAACCCTAAAAAAAGTTATTAGAAAAAAAAACAGAAAATTTGTGGACGGAAGAATGACAGACAGACAGACAGACAGATGGACAGACAGACAGAGTGATTACTATAGGGCACCAGCAAATCCTTGCGGGGCCCTAATTATTAGAGTTCTGAACAAATATTTGGAATAAGATAACACTGCTAGAATGAGCTGGAATCCTAATGACGTCACAATGCTACTGAAGTCAGGATGACATCATCTGTCTATAGATTGATTATAGGAAATCAAAATTGGCTGCAAAAATTGCATGAAAATTTTCCGAGGGGTGGGTAGCACAAATTATTATACCTCTACTGTTATTACTCTATATAAAATTAATACCATAAAACTGTCTATTTCACTGAGAAGATACTATTTTCCTCATCGGAGGACTACTCCCTGAAAAATCGAAGCTACTCCCTGGGACTACTCCCTCATGAATATTTATTGATAATTTTAACCAATTAAAATGAACAGTGGGCGGAGCGTTCAAGGAATCTCAAGTCTGTCACGTAATGTTATTAGCAATGTAACTATGACGTCAAAACATTTCGACATGCGATGTCAAAATCATACTGGAATTCTAGCAAAATGAAGACAAGGATAATCCTTGAAGTGTCAGTGAAATTATTATATATTTTAAATAATTTTATTTTCCTCAGTATTGATGCATTAGTTATCTTACAATATTTTTAATCATATGCATTTGTGATTATTTAAATGCCTCTATATTGTTTTAAAAAAAATGTCTGAGTCTCTAGTTTAATAAATTTCCCATGATTGTTTTGGTATAATAAAACAGTTATGGAATGGGTACTCGGGAAATATCAAATTTATGGTTCCCCTCAGCAGAAAACTATTTCCCTCGGCGGCTTTGCCGCTTCGGGAAATAGTTTCTTCCCTTGGGGAACCATAAATTTGCTATTTCCCTCATACCCATTCCATAACTGTATACTATACCCTGGGGTATAGTTTTGCTATGGCGTGGAAATTTTCAGACTATAAAAGATAATTATTTTACCTTCTTAACTTTATATTGGAAACATTTTAACAGAAGTATAATAATGATACTTATCCATCCAAAAAAATTTAAATTACTAGTACCTTTGCATTACTCTAGTTTTCAAAACTTATTTTCACAGATTAACAGTCCATTTTGAAATTATAAAACAAATAGCTCTAATTCTTGTTTAAAATGAGGGTGTCCGATCCATGGTGAATCATCCTATCTTTAAATAGAAAAACAGGTGTGCTAGGACAAGAGTGTTACCTGTTCTTCTTAAGCTTGGCTTCAGCAGATGGCATATTCTCCAAACAGTTTGGGCAGTATGGTGTGTCAACCTAAAGAAGAAAAAAAAATAGGTAATCAAAGATTACAGAGCTCACCTCAACTAATGTTGTCTTTAAGTAAGGCAAAGTCTCACACCAAACAAATGTTCTGGTATTGTTCATCTCTAGATGCATTCATCCATGCAAGTGTGGTCCAGGTATGGCTTATAAAAGGATGAACCTGCTCCAAAAACTTTAACCTGTTCACTCATCCAGAAAATATAGGCCAGATCCAGCATTCAAAGCAAGTCTGGTACTTTCATCCCTATATGAATCATCCAAGCAAGTTAGGTCTTTGGGTACCTTAGAATGAACCTGCTCTAAAAACATTAATTTGCTCACTTATCAGAAAACATAGACTAGATCCAGCATCTGCAACTTCAGCATCTTGAAACAAATTTGGTTAGTGTGCATCACCAGATGCATATATTATATGCAATTTTGGTCCAGGTAGGGCTTATAGTTACTTCAAAACAAGACCTGCTCAATAAACTTTAACCTGTTCACTTATACAGAAAATGTAGGCCAGAACTAGCATCCAGAACAAGTCTGGTAGCTTTCATCTCTAAATGAAATGTCCATACAAGGACATGGTTACTTAGGAATGGATCTGCTCTAAAAATTTAACCTGTTCTTCACTCATCTGGAAAATGGAGATCAGATTCAGCATCTGGAGCATGTCTAGTAGTGTGCATCCCTAAATATATAATGTATGCAAGACTGCAAGTTTGGTCACCATAGGGCTTATAGTTACATCAGAATGAACCTGCTCCAAAAACTTTAACTTTCAATCATCCAGAAAATGTAGGTTAAATCCAACATTCAAAGCAACTTCCATCCCTACAAGAATTATCTCTGCAAATCTGGTGACCATAGGGCTTATAGTTTAGAATGAACCTGCTCGAAAAACTTTAACCTGTCCCCAAAACATATCTAGGTCATTCTTATGAAAAATACTAGTTGAAAATACAGCAACTAAAACCTGAATTGTCCAATAAACTTCACTAGATGCATCAGCCATGCCACTAGGATCAATATACGGTATCAAAATACTTGAAAACAAGAGGCCAGTGGGCCATAATGCTCACCTGAGTAACTTTGGCCCTGCTGTTCTTCACCAGATTTTCTGCCTTGCAATATTTATTGTGGCCCATCCTACCCCTGGGGATCATAATTTGAACAATTTAGAATCTACACTATCCAAGAACATGCAGAAAGCTTCCACATAAGTTTCAGCTTTTCTGGAACCGTGGTTCTTGAGAAGAAGATTTTTACAGATTTTTTCATTATATTTCAATGTAAACTTTTGATTCCCTATTGTGGCCCCACCTACCCCTTTGGACCATGATTTGAACAATTTAGAATCTATACAACCCAAGGATGCTACCATAAGTTTCAGCATTTCTAACCCAGTAGTTCTGGAAAAGAAGATTTTTAAAGATTTTTTCATTATTTTTCAATGTAAAACGGTTCCTCATTGTCCCACCCTACTCCCTGGTCATGATTTGAACAAATCAGAATTCACACCACCCCAGGATGCTTCCAAATAAGTTTCAGTTTTTCTGGCCCAGTAGTTCTGGAGAAGAAGATTTTTTCATTATTTTTCAATGTAAAACTTGGGTTCCTCAATTGTGGCCCTACCCTACCCTTTGTTTATGATTTGAACAATTTAGATTTTACACCATCCCAGGATGCTTCCAAATAAGTTTCAGTTTTTCTGGCCCAGTGGTTCTGGAGAAGAAAATTTTTTAAAAAAGATTTTTCCTATATTTTTCAATATAAGACTTTATTCCCTATTGTGGTCCCCCCCCCCCCTACCCTGGGGGCCATGATTTGAATAATGTAGAACCTACACTATCTCTGGAAGATTCCATATAAGTTTCATCTTTTCTGGTCCAGTGACTCTTGAGAAAAAAAAAATTTTAATGACACCATCCTATTTTTGTCTTTTCTTGATTATCTCACCTTGTAAAGAAGCTTGTTCCTGAATTTTAACAATTTAAACTCCCCTTTATCCAAGGAGCTTCATACCAACTTTGGTTAAAACTGGCCCAGTGGTTCATGAGAAGAAATTGAAAATGCGAAAAGTTTACAGACGGATGTATGACGGACAACAGGTGATCAGAAAAGCTCAACTGAGCTTTCAGCTCAGGTGTGCTAAAAACATTGCTCCAAAACCTTTCACCTGGGATGCCGACACAGACAATATTACATAAGCTCCCTAAATTTGGTTCCCAGACTTACTGACAGGTAAACAAATACAACAGCATGATAAACCTGTACAATTTGAAGTATTTCAGGTCCTAAGAAAATTATAAAACAATTTGAGGTTCAATACCACCCCCATCCTCAAAAGGAAACATCACAATGCATAGGAAACTGGCAATATTATGGGGTGACAAATATTAAGCTTACCATATTCTCTCCAATAAGCATCTTGGCATTTAAAATTATGGGAATAGGACATATGGTATATTGGCATGGATGCTAAATTATATATACTTTGACATACAATGGCTCCATTTGTCTGGGTTTGTGTTCCGTGTCTTTACTTTAGACACTTGGTAAGAAAAGCCAACCACCTCACTTTTCCTGAATATGATTCATATGTGCATGGAGATCGAGGCAGGGGGGGAGGGATGGGAGGGGTGGAAGTATAATTTATATATTCATCTGCAGAAATTAGTAGTATTCACAATTAAATAAATAAATGGGGATATTTATCGTAGACAGTATAAGATGAACAGCATATGGATTTTGCTTCAGAGTCTGTACATTAGCCTAATCAATCAATACGTCGCTTAGTCAGACCAGCAAAATATTTGATAGATGTCCTTGCCACCTAAACTTATCATTTCTTGGTTTATGCTTACCTCATGTTGTACACAGTCCCCGCATCTAAGTTTCAAACAATGTCGACATAAAAATAAACGACATATTGGATGCTTTTTCCCACAAGAACAAAGGTATTTAATGATGTTCACATCCACAAATGTAGACATCTTACAAGCCGTCAAGCGACATCAACTTGATCAAGCGTCAAAATGACACAGACAACTTTCACAATCAATGTTCTACTTTCACTTTGTATGGATCTACTGCTGTAAAAATCTGGAACGAATTGATGTTAAGTTGAAGTCTTGACACAGTTTACCAGCAGCAGGAACGCGTACAATATTAGGATGTCTAAAAGATGTTTGAATAACATCTGAATACAAAACATTCAGAACCATCGGAGCCGAGAGGTGCACTGATGCACTATTTTTTCATAATGCTACTCTTCCTACAGTTTTGGTCTGAATTCAATTAAACTTGGCACGCAACTAGACTACACTAAGATACATAATTCTGTGTATCTGTTTTTGATTTCTACTCCTACAGTTTTGGTCTGATTTCAATGTAACCTGGCCCACAAGTAGACTACTGTACACCAACCATCATTTGCGACATTTTTATTCACGATTTGTAAGTTTCAAACTTATATGTGACAACTAAGTTTTGCGACCAAGGAAATATTCACATGAATACATATAAGGAAATGAATAGTTTGTGGCGAGAAGTATTTGCAAGTAAAGCAAGGTCGCGAAACTCGCGGATATTTCTAGCACGCGAATAAAAGTTGGTTTACAGTATACTAAAATATATAATTCTGTATATTGGTTTTTTATGTCCATGAACGGTGTTACCATGTTACTAAAAAACAGAAATTTATGTGAAATACTGTCAAAATGCTACTCCTCCTAAGTTTTGGTCTGATTTCAATATAGCTGCAAAACTGTACATTATAATGGTTTTATATATTTATTTAGTCTTTGACCATAACGCTACAGATCCTGTAATACAAATATGGTGCAATTTACGTCGCTTGTTTTGGATCTTTTGTCGGATGGCAGAAAAATTTTTTTTTTTAAATTAAAGCGAGTTTATTAATTGGTCTGTAGACACAATTGTAAAGGGTTAGGAGGTGGATAAAATATACAGGTTGGTCAAAGGATATGTCTAGAATTAGGGAATGAAATTTTAAAGTAGTTGATTGACCAATGCTGGAAAGTGGAGAAAATCACCCCAATTATGCGCAGAAAATCTTGCGCCATAAATTAAACCATATTTGTATTATGGGATCTGTTGCGTTATGGTCAAAGACTAATATATAAAACCATAAAGCTACAGTTCTGCAGCTAATTTCAATATAACTTGCCACACAAGTAGACGATATTAAGATACATAATTCTGTACTTCGATGAATGGTGTTGCCATGGTTACTAAAAATAGAAATTTGTGTGAATACATTCAAAATGCTACTTCTCCTACACTTCTTATCTGATTTCCCTATAACTTGGCACACAAGTAGACTACACTAAAATACATAATTTGATATATTGGTTTTTGATTTCAATGAACAGTGTTGCCTTGATTACTAAAAATATAAATTTCTGTGAAATACATCCAAAACGCTTCTCCTCCTTCACTGTTCGTCTGACTTCACTATAACTAGGCATACAGGTAGACTACATTAAGATACATAATTCTTTTTATTGGTTTTTGATTTCAATAAATGGTGTTGCCATGGTTACTAAATATAGAATTTTTTGTAAAATACTTTCAAAACACTACTCTTCTTACAGTTTTGGTCTGATTTCAATATAACTTGGCACACAGTCAAGTAGATTACACTGAAATGCATTATTCAGTGCATCAGTTTTTGATTTTGGTAAAGTGTTGCCATGGTTACTAAAAATAAAATTTCTGTGAAATACTCTAAAAACACTACTCCTCCTACACTTTGGTCTGATTTTAATATAACTTTGCACACAAGTAGATTACACTGAGATACATATTTGTTTTTATTGGATTTTGATTTTGAGGAATGATGTTGCCATGGTTAATAAAATTGAAATATCTGTAAAATTCTTTTAAACGGCAACTCCTCCTACAGTTTTAGTCTGATTGCAAAAAATTGTGCTACAAAAAGAGACTCAACCAAGCATTATTATTCTTTTTATTGCTGTTGCAATGTTTTGAGTCCAAGTGCTACTTTTCTCTTCCTTTGTTATAAGTACAAACTAGTAGAGTTACAGTCTCGTCAGAAACTTCTGTTTTTTTTGTTTTGTTTTTGTTTTTAAATCTATTATAGAAGTACTTAACAAAATAAACACTTTGTACTTATCTTATCTATTTAAACTGGTAGAAATTAATAACATTATGACGGTTATGTACTCTATACAATAATACTTGATAATCTTTTTCACCATAGATTTAATTGAATTAATCAGTTTGTACATAAAAATATGCTTCAGTAAACAACAAGATGTGTTTGTGAAACTCCAATGTCCTTGTATGAAAGCTCATGGCCAAGTTTTTCAAAAAAAAAAGGTCAAACTCCAAGATCAAGTTGATGTGTACAAAAATGTTGGTACACCCAAAGAAAGGTCTTGTCACAAGGAATACACATGCAGAATATGAAAGCCCTAGTACCAACCATTCTGAAGTTATGGCCAAGGGTAAAGTATTTGTGGACAGACAGATGAGCAAACCAAAAACTATACCCCCCCCCCCCCCCCCCAATTTCTGATTAAAAAATAACAATACAGTAAAACTGGTTCCTTAGAAATTGGCTTGATTAGACAACATATGAATTAGACAACAATTTAAACAACAAAATTTAATGAAAGGACTTAAAGTTTAAACTGTAATACGCAAGGTTAATTTGGAAAACATAACATCCAGATTTGACAAGTTTTTCTGTAATACCATACTAAACAAAATTATAAAAAATAAATAAAAATAAACACCGTAAGTTTAAAGCCAAGCTTTATTGTTAAGATGAATATGATAAATCTGCCTAGCACATATAACTATACATAGAGGTAACACATGTACCATTGTACATTGCTTGTGGACAGAGAATTACAAAAAGTGGGAGAAAAAAATAAATCATATGCCCTCTCAACAAAATCCAACCCCTGTCCACCTGCTAATATCTATACATGTATTGGCTCTAAATGCATCGAGATAAACTATTTCATAGGCATACATACATAAACAAAACTCGCCCCTTCTTGTTAAACAACTTTTCTCTTTATGCTTCTTTCTTTTTCTTCTTGTTACCACAACAATAAAATTTTATCAGTCAGTACAGCAGAACACTGAATCATAAGCAAAGAATTTAAATTTCAATGATGTCTTCTCAATTATAAAAATTTATTCTCACAGGAAGTAAATTTCTTTATGAGTGTGTGCGTGTGTGTTTTATATAAACTATGTAGATTTTAACAATATTAACCAAACCAACATACTATGTGTACAAACACTAGAAAACATCAAATGTATAAGACACTGACAGTGTCTAAATAATAGCGAGCATTGGTAACAGCTGGTGTCTCAACAATGAAAAAAATTCTCATACAGTTGAGCTTTGCAAATCATTCATATATCTAATACAATAATCCAATAGCAAATGCAATACAAGTCTATAGCTATCAGGCAAGTATTACAATAGTTAATATTACATCCTCTCCCAAGTAACATTATACACATTTCAAAATACAAGGATAAACAGTTTCGAACCGCACAGTCAAAGAAACATGTTAATGCTGATTCTTAGCACTTGAGACATGTATCCATTCTTGGAGCCATAGTAACTGCTAGTGTGTGACCTGTAAATGACCTTCACCTCGACCCCCTGTGACACCTCTCTGCATGGCTCTTCTTTTACAGTCATCTGTCAACAAATGAAAATAATTTCTCATATATCTCTTTAAATAATGGAAATTTCATATTAGATACAACATAGCGCAGGACACTTTTACAAAACCGTTTAATGGCACTACCTGTTTGAGCACTTAGTGCTGAATTAATTAACTCCACTGCATCATATCTCTCCATAGCAACCAAGGCTTCCAACAGTTTGGATATAGTGCCTCCACATGACTGAAAATACAATATAGGTGTAAAAGTACAATCTTATTCTATAAAATTAAAGGAAAGCTGCCAATGTGACAGCAATCTGGTTTTCTTTTGTGTGAAAAGTACTGGTATTTCTCTCATAAATTATAAAAACTTTCTATTCTGAGGTGATGTGCCAACAATATCAATGTATCCTATATGCAATATTTTGCCTTAGAAAATGACTAAGTTCAACAACTGTATTTTTGTCATAAATTATCAAAAATTAAATCCCATGTAATGTGCACATCTCTGATATACTGTATACAGGGTTATTTTCGCCCCGTGTTATTTTCGCCCTTTCACACTTGCAAACAATTTTGCCCCGTTTTAAATTCGCCCAGTCATTGTTGTGTTTAAGAGATTATACTGTATTCTTTGAATTAGCCCCATTTTGAATTCACCCAAATAAGGGTAGGGCGAAAATAAAACAAATGGTGTATCCTTATTATGCTATATATTTCACATAAAACTTGTAATCTTAGATTACATACTGGTAGCTCAACTAGATGCATTATCCATGCAAGTTTGGTCACCATGGGGCTTATAGTAACTTGAGAATGAGACCTGGTCCAAAAACTTTAACTTGGTCATTCATCTGGTAAATGTAGGACAGATCCAGCATCTGAACCAAGTCTGATAGTGTGCATACCAAGATGCATTATCCATGCAAGTACATGTGGCATAGGGCTTATAGTTATATAGGAATGAACCTGCTCCAAAAACTTTAACCTGTTTACTGATCTGAAAAATGTAGGTCAGACCCAGCATCTGAAGCAAGCCTGGTACTGATCATCCCAAGAAGCATCATCCTTGCAAGTTTGGTTCAGGACAGGCTTATAGTTACTCGGGAATGAGACCTGCTCTGAAAACAAACCTGCTCTTAAAACATTAACCTAATCATTTTTATGGAAACTACCGATACTGGCTGAAAATGCAGCATCTGAAACCTGAATGGTGTACTGAAACATACTAGATGATTATCCATGCAAGTAGAATCAAAACAGGGAAAAGAAATACTTTGTAAGAAATCTGCTCCAAAAACTTTAACTTGGGATGCCAACACTGAGGGTATTACATAAGCTCCCCCAACTTTGTTGAGGTAAGCTGAAAATGATGAAGTTCAACAACTGGCATTTTTCTCATAAATTATCAAAAATTAAAATCCAAGTAATATGCACATCTCTGATATATGTACAATGAACAAAATAACAAAATAAAAGAGTTCCTATCTTGAAAATTAGGAGGAGTTATCTGGATAAATGCTATACCCTTTTTGGAAGAAACCTGCTTGTGCGCCATTTTCCCCATTTCAATAACCAGATTTTTCCTACGGAAAACCCGCAGTACAAAATAATTTCAGTTTACCTCATAAAAGGTTAGGAGAAGTCTGGTGGGACTGAAGCCCCCTTGGTGTCCCTCCACAGACTGCCGTAATCCTAGTCTCTCGGATAGGGCCACCCAGTCACATCCGTTCTGTCTTGGATCTAACAGCTTTGACAGCTGTACACGCACAGGGTAGCTGATCCTGTCAATGTCTCCATCTATTTATATAACGATATTATTAGTAATGCTGTTTTTAGGAAATATAAAATAAGGAGATACATGTAATTTAAAAAATTTACATTGACTGCACTAGATATATTTTACGTGAGACTTAAATATTGTCAGTTATTTCTTGATTAAAATTGTAACATACTTTGAACCACCTTGGATTACACTAAAACTTGTCTAATCTGGATGTTGTGAATTCAGAAATCTTGCCTCATACATGTAAAGCTTAAATCCCTTTCAGTAAATTCAATTGTTTAAAACTGATTTCTAATCCGCCCAATTTCTATAGAACCAGTGGTGTCCAGATTAGACAAGTTTTACTGTACTACGAAGTACAGTGTTATTGTACATGTATTTGATCACACACACCTTCACTGCTGGAGAGCACAGCACTGATGGTAGGTGGACAGGAGAGAGAGGAGGGAGGGGATGTCAAGGGGGAAGAGGAGGTAATTGTATCAGTCTGAAAATCCTCTGAAGCTAACAGACTGTTGGCCTCCAGGTAAAAATCTGTCCTTCCTGACAAACTCTTGATACTCCCAACAGAGTCTCCCCCATAAGGCTCACCATTCAGGATCTTCAGTATCTGTTAAATGACAAAAACAAGGTGTAATAATCTGTAATTGGAAGAGTTGAAAATAAAATTGTGCAGCAAGAGTCTGCAAAATTTAATCTTTTGTGTCATATATGATATAATTAAAATTTTGTTTACCATCATAATGAAGATTTAGAAAAGAAACAAAGAAAACAAACAAAGGCAACACATGATATGTACATGAGTTTATACACTTTAGACTTTGCTGGGTGAAGAATGGTGAGGGTGTGAGAGGTGAAAATGAACTGTCTCAAGCTTGTAGATGAATGTTGAAGTCATATTTGAAAAAGGTACTTGTGTTTCCTGAGTTAGGATGAAAAACTGTGATAGATTGTGCCCTGTACGTACCCTGGTGTTGCCTACTGCGTAATGTCGAGGTTTGTGTCCTGGTAAAGGCTTATCTGTATCCTCCTCCTCTTCCTCACTAGACTGTTCATTCTTCAGAGCCTCGGAGTTTTCTATTTCTGGATTGGCTCCTGCAGCCATTAATAGAGCCACCATGCCACTGTTCTGTCGACCACAGGCTATATGTAATGCTGTGTTCCCATTAAAACACACGGAATCCACAGAAGCTCCTGCCTACGATGTGGAATAGACCACGTTCAAAAGCACAATAACATATACTGTATGAAAGTATATTCATTCTGGTACTCCAGAGGTTCTTTTTTATACTCACCTCAAGAATGAGGTAACTACTGACAGATAAGTCATCCTCCTCCACAGCATAATGGAGAGGGGTTTTCCCACTTTTACCATCTGCCGTGTTGATATCAGCCTTACAGCGCACTAATAATTTCATGGCTTGGAGATTTCCCTTCTGTGCAGCTATATGAGCTGGTGTAAATCCTGCAATGATGTTTTTGTAATATAATTCCACAAGCATAGATTTTACTTTACAACTAAAATGTTCTGGCTTTTGTATAGATGACATAGTACACCTGTCAAAATTTCATATATATATATATATATATATATATATATATATATATATATATATATATATATATATATATATATGTACCATCAAAATTTTTCATGTTAAGTTCAGGAAATGGATTTTGGGGAGTTGAGAATGGGCGCTGATATTTTAAAAGTTTAGCCAAACAGCTAGAATTGCCAGTCTGCACTGCCAGGTGAGCTGGAGTGTTGCCATTTCTGTCTGGTAACTTAGTGTTGGCACCAGCACACAACAAACGGTCAATGATTTCTTCCTGGCCAGTGAGAACAGCCAGATGAAGGGGAGTCTGTAAAGAAAATGTCAGTTCATCAGATAATCATCAATGCATTCACATATTAAACAATGAATACTATAAATACACTCAACACTGTTAATTTAATGCTTTTTGCTTTAGATTTTGCCAAGTAATTCAGGTACACTGCTGTATATTATGTTTGTATCCCTAGTATGACAAGAAATGTTTGTGAAACATTTATGCCCCCCCCCCCCCCCAAGGGGCATAACTCTGTCAAAAATCACTCGATCATACCCAAAACAGAACTTGACCTAGATATTCTTACAATTAATCTGTATACCAAATTTAAGTATGTGCAACCTCTTCTAAGAAAATGAACGGAAACTGCAAATAATTGGAATTTTTCTAAGTCCAAGGGGCATAACTCTGTCAAAAATCACTCGATCATACCCAAAACAGAACTTGACCTAGATATTCTTACGATTAATCTGTATACCAAATTTAAGTATGTGCAACCTCTTCTAAGAAAATGAACGGAAACTGCAAATAATTGGAATTTTTCTAAGTCCAAGGGGCATAACTCTGTCAAAAATTGCTCGCTCGTACCTAAAATAGAACTTGGCCTAGATATTCTTATGAAAAATCTGTATACAAATTTCATTTCAATATGTGCAACCTCTGCGAAGAAAATGAACAGAAACTGTTGATGGACCGACAGACAGACAGACTGAGCAACAGACAGCAGCAAAGCAATATGCCCTCCCTTCTTCCAAGAGGGGCATAATAAAATATTGATATATGTATGTTTCACCATTCCTTGCAATATTTATGTTCATAAACAACCTAAACACTTTACTGCAGATGAATACAGTGCATTCCCAGTGTTTGCTAGATGTAAAAATTGTTGATTCTAAGCTGTTATTAATATTTACCTGTAGAAGGTTGTTGTAGGCGTTGATCTTAAGCCAGAGGTTGGACATGGTCTGCATGACATCCAGTAAATTGTTCACAACCTCCTTGTTACCATTAATGATGGCTGTGTGTAAGGGGCTGTAAAGTCAAAGTGAAACCATTAATGATGGTTGTGTGTAAGTGGTGTAAAGTCAAAGTGTAACTATTAATGATGGCTGTGTGTCAGGGCCTGTAATGTCAAAGTGTAACTATTAATGATGGCTGTGTATCAGGGGCTGTAAAGTCAAAGTGAAACCATTAATGATGGCTGTGTGTAAGGGGCTGTAAAGTCAAAGTGTAACCATTAATGATGGTTGTGTGTAAGGGGCTGTAATGTCAAAGTGTAACTATTAATGATGGCTGTGTGTCAGGGGCTGTAAAGTCAAAGTGTAACCATTAATGATGGTTGTGTGTAAGGGGCTGTAAAGTCAAAGTGTAACCAGTAATGATGGCTGTGTGTCAGGGGCTGTAAAGTCAAAGTGTAACCATTAATGATGGCTGTGTGTAAGGGCCTGTAAAGTCAAAGTGTAACTATTAATGATGGCTGTGTGTAAGGGGCTGTAATGTCAAAGTGTAACCATTAATGATGGTTGTGTGTAAGGGGCTGTAAAGTCAAAGTGTAACCATTAATGATGGCTGTGTGTCAGGGGCTGTAAAGTCAAAGTGTAACCAGTAATGATGGCTGTGTGTCAGGGGCTGTAAAGTCAAAGTGAAACCATTAATGATGGCTGTGTGTTTAAGGGGCTGTAATGTCAAAGTGTAACCATTAATGATGGCCGTTTGTCAGGGGCTGTAATGTCAAAGTGTAACCATTAATGATGGCCGTGTGTAAGTGGTGTAAAGTCAAAGTGTAACCATTAATGATGGCTGTGTGTAAGGGGCTGTAATGTCAAAGTGTAACCATTAATGATGGTTGTGTGTAAGGGGCTGTAAAGTCAAAGTGTAACCATTAATGATGGCTGTGTGTCAGGGGCTGTAAAGGCAAAGTGTAACCATTAATGATGGCTGTGTGTAAGGGGCTGTAAAGTCAAAGTGTAACCATTAATGATGGCTGTGTGTCAGGGGCTGTAAAGGCAAAGTGTAACCATTAATGATGGCTGTGTGTCAGGGGCTGTAAAGTCAAAGTGTAACCATTAATGATGGCTGTGTGTAAGGGCCTGTAAAGTCAAAGTGTAACTATTAATGATGGCTGTGTGTCAGGGGCTGTAAAGTCAAAGTGTAACCATTAATGATGGCTGTGTGTAAGTGGTGTAAAGTCATAGTGTAACCATTAATGATGGCTGTGTGCAAGGGGCTGTAATGTCAAAGTGTAACCATTAATGATGGTTGTGTGTAAGGGGCTGTAAAGTCAAAGTGTAACCATTAATGATGGTTGTGTGTCAGGGGCTGTAAAGTCAAAGTGTAACCATTAATGATGGCTGTGTGTCAGGGGCTGTAAAGTCAAAGTGTAACCATTAATGATGGCTGTGTGTAAGTGGTGTAAAGTCATAGTGTAACCATTAATGATGGCTGTGTGCAAGGGGCTGTAATGTCAAAGTGTAACCATTAATGATGGTTGTGTGTAAGGGGCTGTAAAGTCAAAGTGTAACTATTAATGATGGCTGTATGTCAGGGGCTGTAAAGTCAAAGTGTAACCATTAATGATGGCTGTGTGTAAGGGGCTGTAAAGTCAAAATGTAACCATTAATGATGGCTGTGTGTCAGGGGCTGTAAAGTCAAAGTGTAACCATTAATGAGACATTAATAAAAAGACAACTGTTTAATTCTAATAACAAACCAGTAGGAGACATTTGTCAATGTTGCTGGTATAACAGCATTGCCTAACCACTAAACTAAAAACTATCCAAAGGGCCAGGGTTGTATTGATGTAATTAAGAAATGATGATAATGAAAATAAAAAGTAACAAAAATAATGATGCTGAAATACAACAACAATGGTGATTATCAATGTTTGAAAAAATAAATATATATTCCAGCCAAAATGAAATGAATCATTAAATGCATATCTCCATTTTGGTCTGGTACTGATGTAAGGTAATTGTACCAAGAGGATCTTTCCTTACTTTCTCTGTTTACGTCTGGTACTGACATGAGGCAATTGTACCAGGAGAAGCTTTACTTGCATGTCTCTGTTCTGGTCTGGTACTGATATCAGGTAATTATACCAGGAGGAGCTTTACTTACATGTCTCTGTTTTGGTCTGGCACTGATGTAAGGTAACTGTACCTGGAGGAGCTTTACTTACATGTCTCTGTTTTGGTCTGGTACTGATGTAAGGTAATTGGACCAGGAGGAGCTTTACTTACATGTCTCTGATTTGGTCTGGTACTGATGTGAGGTAATTGTACCAGGAGGGGCTTTACTTACATGTCTCTGTTTAAGGCTGGTACTGATGTCAGGTAATTGTACCAGGAGCTTTACTTACATGTCTCTGTTTTGGTCTGGCACTGATGTAAGGTAATTGTACCTGGAGGAGCTTTACTTACATGTCTCTGTTTAGGAGACTGGTATTGATGTGAGGTAATTGTACCAGGAGGAGTTTACTTACATGTCTCCGTTTTGGTCTGGTACTGATGTGAGGTAGCGTTGTACTAATAGTAGCTGCCTTATGTCTCCTGTTGAAGCGTACGTCTGTAGGGCCTTCACTGTTCTCTCTGTTGTGCGTACCACCTCATCCTTGTCGGTTTGAACTGTCAACAAATAAACTATTTATGTGTGAGGCAATACAAAATTTAATCTCACATTTCTTCAGTATACAGGACATGTATATCCAGTAATTTAGATTAAACAAAATACAGTAGAAGCTTATTTATATGGATGTGGTGAGTACTGTTCGTGTTTAGTCACCAATATCTGCTAAATACTAGTAACATTTAACTGGATGCAATGAATTACTAGTATATGTAACATTAATAACTTTGGTTATCCCAGGGGATTTCCTTAAAATGTCTTTTAGCTATAAATGAAGCTAGCTCTAAAGTAACTTGAAGGACAATTTTTATGTACAAATGAACTTTAATGGCCTTACCACTTTGGTCACATGTCTCTGAAGCTGCTATTGTAGATTTTCCTTCTGTGTCTGGCTCCACTGGTTGGGCAAGAACCTCCTCCTCACTAGCAGGCACACTTTCTAGCTTTAATTCTGCAGTTTTAATAGAAATATCTGAAGTTTTAAGTTCACAAATCTCAATTTTCTTCACACTGTGGACTGCTTCAGGAGCATGCCCATCACTTTCAATGTCATCGGGGGTTTCCCGCCCCGAATCTGGGCTTGTTTCTTGAGACAACATGATATCCTTGTGAAGAACCACAGAATCGTCTCTATCCAGATGTATTATCTCTTTTTTATCATCATACACTGTGGCATCCACCTCATCCATTCCTGAAGAGGAACTGTCATTAGAAGCTTCTAAAACACTAGTGGGTCTCCCTCCTCCCCCACGAGGTACAAACATTTGATGTTGGAAATTCTGTGCTGTCAGATGTGCAAAATGTTGTAGGTTGATGTTGGGATGTTGCTGGAAGTTTGCTTGAGTCACATGAATGTCAGGTGGTCCTGCTACCTGTAGATGTGAAGGCTCCGTAATGATGGTGGGAAGTCCCTGAATTCTCCCACCATCTACTTCTATATCCGCTGGTTTGAGGCCCTGGCGCTTGGCTTTATTTATCCGCCTCTTTGTGGCATTGGAAATCTTTGGTAAAGGATTATGCAGACTATCATTTGACAAAGATTGTTCTGCAATGAAAACAGATAAGATTTAAAAAATCAATGCAAAAGTTTACTCTTTATGGAAAAAAAAAAATTGGCCCAAAGATAAAATTAAAACAAACTTACAGGTGTCTAAATTTACTTCCTTAATGGATATTGAGCCACTTGTAGTGCATATACACTGGTATGTACAAATCAAACAAATATTTTAAACGTCCCCTAACTTACCCGAATCATTAACCATTACAGGTATGTTTCCTTGAGGTGGGCCAAAAGGTAGAGCTATAAATAGATTAAAAGCACAGTAATAATCCAGGAAGTCAAGTTTTTAATCATATTTGATATACATGTACAATGTACATGTTGAAAAGAGTACATAATAATACCTATTAAGCTCTGCCTATTTAAATTTTTTTTGTGTGTAATCAAACAAGTCAAGGTTTGTCACTTGTGCAGTATTTCAGTAAGAAAAAATTATCTTTTAACTCATTTTAATTATACAAGTATAATTAAAATGAGTTAAAAGATAATCTTGTATACCATATTCTGAAAGGTACTTTTACTTATATACAAAATAAATTTATTAAAATGTACTCAACAATGGTCAGTTATGTGTTTTTGTTTGTTTGTTTGTTTGTTTTTTATTTGATTTTCTAATTTGCATTTTTATTTGTCATATCTCTTAAAGCTTTGATAGGTTTGTACATTATTGCTCATGATTGTTTGTTTGTTTTTTATTTGATTTTCTAATTTGCATTTTTATTTGTCATATCTCTTAAAGCTTTGATAGGTTTGTACATTATTGCTCATGACTTAAAGATGTGCCATGAACATGACTCATAGTCACATCTCAAAGCTCGAGACACTGAGCATGCAGCATTGAAATCTAGTTTGGTCACTGGAACTCCTCATTGGAATGAATTCAAACATATTAAGTACATGTAAGTTGCTGTAATGGTGTGTCATAACTACTCAATGTAGTACTGGTATATTACAGGTCAAGGTTACTGGCCAACTATGAAACAAATTTTGTCAAGTAAAGTTGATGAGCATGTATTAAACCCATTGTACCTTGTTAATCATAGCAAAGATATCTTATTGTATAATATGTAGCATGGTATGATCAAAACTAAAAGGTTTCAACATTTGAAAAGCCATTGTTTTGTCAGTTTGAAAAGAGAAATCAGCAATTCACTGGCTATCACTATACATTTATTGACTGGGTTTGAGGGTAACATGCATTTTGTTGGACCCATGAACCAAACAATTTGCCTGAGGCCATTAGGCCGTTTTATACCTTTTATTTAAATTTTTTTGACATACGTGTATCTAGTGCTAGCTTCCATGACGTACATTTCTTTTACCTGCACTGCTAAACTAGATCAATTCTGTCACTGTCAAACACAGAGGAATGCAAATAAGATTTAGCTGATCCTGCCCACAGTGTGATGTAAGTGGTCCAATATCTCATTGACAGGTCCAATATCTCACTCTGTGGTTAAACTCTGATTTTTTTTTTTACTGCTCAGTAAAACATTGGAAATATTAGACTTTTTTCAGTATAGTCTTATAGAGGAGAGAATTTTTAAAGGTATAATAATATATACCTTGATAATATATTTTCATACCTCATCAAGGTAGTATAGTGATGGCCAGTACGTGGTACATGTATAACTGCATGGGGACAGGAGATGCCTGTTTTTGTCAACATATTTTGTTTGGCTAGAATTACTTTTAAGGAAACTTCCTGGTCTTTTCTTTCATAAAGAAACCAATATTTTTTTTTTTTTTATTTAGACTTTAATGTTTTTATAAATATCTGTAGGCTTTAAATTTTTTTTGATAGACAATGTTTGTTGTAAAATGTACCACATTTCTGCGTCGCCTGCAGAGCAGAGCGACACTTAGGGATCTCTTTACTTTACTTATATTTGAATACTATAAAAATACATTGGGAGCGGCATTCCACAATGGATTGTGTAGACTGACAATTGCAGTCAAGGCAGACTGAAGTCTTTTTTTTGGAGGACTGTTAATAAAATGATAATTATCTCTAATTATTTCAATTTAATTTTTCATTTGAATCATATTTTCTTTGACTGTCAAATTTAAACACAGTCTTCGATGCTTTTTTTTTGTAAACCTTGGAGGTTATCCTGGTGCATCATCCACTACAACAAGAACTTGATTTCTATTTTACTAACAGCTCTAAACATCCCCTCTGAAGAGAAATGAATAAGGTCATTATGTCACACGGGCTGCTATGGCTGTTCCATGTAACACTAGAGGGTCAACTTGTTTGATTGTGTACATGTATGAAATAACATTATTAATTAATTTTTATGATAACTAGAAATATGTCCATAGGACATGAATGCCCCGCCGAGGGTATATTAGTAATGCAACATGAAAATTTGTATTAGTGTGTGAAATTTGATGAGAATATCTTGAACAGTTTCTTTAAAATTGAAACTGAAATCTAAAAAGTTGGATATATATGATGAATTCTCACCAAATTATGTATAAGTGCATAAGCTTATATAAATATATCTTAAATGGTTTCTTTAAAATTAAGCAAAATGCAAATTTAAGAAAAGTGAGGTCAAGGTCACAGGAAAGTTCAAGGTCAAACGTTTTTGATGCAGTTGAATATTTCTCACAAATACGCATCAGCATATTAAGTTTGATAAAAATATTTTGAATGGTTTATTTAAAACTGAGCTAAACACTAGTTTAAAATAAATGAAGTTAAGGTCAAAGGAAAGGTCAAGGTCAAAAAATGTTGATGCAGTTGAAAAGGTTACATCAGTATGTATTAGCATATGAAGTTTGAGAAAAAATATTATGAATGGTTTCTTTAAAACTGAGTTAAACACAAATTGAGAAAAGTGAGGTCAAGGTCAAAGGAAAGGTCAAGGTCAAAAAATATTAATGCAGTTGAATACCTTACATCAGTATGTATCAGCATATGAAGTTTGACACTAATTTAAGAAAAGTGAGGTCAAGGTCAAAAATGTTGATGCAGTTGAATAGCTCTCCTCAGTATGTTCAGCATATAAAGTTTGATAAAAATATTATGAATGGTTTCTTTAAAACTGAGCTAAACACTAAGAAAAGTGAGGTCAAGGTCAAAGGAAAGGTCAAGGTTGAATAGCTTACATCAGTATGTATCAACATATGAATTGGATTACACTATCTTGAATGGTATCTTTAAAACTAAGCTAAACACTAGTTTAAGAAAAGTGAGGTCAAGGTCAAAGGAAAGGTCAAGGTCAAAAAATGTTGATGCAGTTGCATTGCTCTCATCAATATCTATCAGCATATGAAGTTTGATAAAAATATCTTGGATAGTTTCTTTGAAACTGAGCTTCGAATAGAGCTAGATGCAAAGCGCAACAGAAAGACAGATGGAAAGACAGAAGGATAGAAGGATGGAAGATGGACATGACAAACACATATTCATGGCGGGGCATAATAAAATAGCAAAATCAGTCATCTATTTTATTGCTTTAATATCAGTAAAATCTCAGAGAGTAAATGAAGTAGGGGGGTTTGTGGAACTTTGCAATAAAGAATGACATTTATCAGCTGTTTTAGGGAATTTACACTGCAAAAGACAAAACATCGATATGATCTATATAAAGTCATTCATTCACCTGTACAAGTTTGATACATGTTTCTTATACGATATTATACAACTATGTACTTCAGTGTAAGTCAAAATGTGGTTATAAGGACCCATGTCAAGTGAAATTGTCTGAAGACAGAAAGTGATAGCGACCGAGCTTGCAAGGTCGCTATCATTTTCTATGTCTGGAAATGACTGAAAATCACTTAGAGCATAAGCAGTAATCAAATTCTTTGTATCTTGTAAAGAATCAGATTGGGTTTTTTTTTATAGTGTTACTCATCTTCACAGCTAGAATGTACAATGTATTGTATAATCACTTATTTTCATAGGGTCAGATTTTCGTGGCCGAGGAAAAAATACTGGTTCAAAGAAATTTGATTTCGTAAATTGAAGAAGAAGCATAAAATTTTAGTATTGAATTTAAACATTTCTTTGGGGAAATGAATTCATGGGTATCTCAATGCCACAAAAACAATGAAAATTAAACCTGTATGAAAAGTTGTGCTTTCACTGTATATGGGTTGATAAAATATGTTAGATCTTTTTAACATCTCAGAGAACTATGGCACCTCAAACAAAAATATACCATCTATAACATTTGGTTGAGGACATGTAGATGAGGGGGGGGGGGGGGGGGGGAGGGGAGGACTGGGGAGATGGCAGAGTTGTGAGATGTGGTATAAATTTTGTGAATAAAGTTCTTTTTATTTCTCAGACAATGTTAAGTTTTTATGGAATTACCTCCATTGTGGAAGCTGCTATTTAAATTAGTTCGACCATCCTCTCCCCCTGCACCACCCCCGAAGCCATTACTACCTGGGTAGCTTGGGAGGGTCTTCTTTCTCTTCTTGGCAATTTCATCCTTATCTGCAAAGAAAAAATATATACATACATAAAACATACTGTAAAGATACATAAATTAATGCACTCAAAATTTAGCACTATCTGTATCAAATGATTAACATAATCATTAACAAGTACATTTAGAACCAAGCTTCTATATGCATTTATTTTAATAATACATTAGGCTATCATCAACAAGCTAATTCAGAGTATTTGTGTCTCCCACTTAAAGAAAAAAGAAAAGGGTGGAAAACTGAAAAAAATATGCAGATATAGAAAAAAAAGGTCAACCTTGACCTTTTAGCTTTTGGCCTTAAAGTCAATAGGAGTCTTTTTTAGGTTAAAAAAAAATCATGACCTTATGTTTCATAACAAAAGCTTATAGAGAACTTAAAAGTTATCATCTGAAAACCATGTATGCATTCCAAAACACCGAACTAATTTGTTTAAAAATTCCCTCCAGTATTCCGGTGTTCATATTTGGAACAGTTTGCCTTTGGATTTAAGATGTGCACCAACTCTGTCAGTTTTTAAACGAAATGTAGAAAAGTATATCTTCAACAATAGAATTTCATTACTCTGATTTATATCTTTTGTATATGTATATTATGTCAAATCTTACAAATGTATATTAATTTATTTGTCATCATAATATATTTGTTTATTATTATCATTATGATGATTGTCATTATTATCATGTGACATTGTTTGTGTATTATATTTCAATTGCCACACTGTAGTTGTTAATCTTTGCTACTTTGATGTACACGTGTAATATTGTTGTAATTAGAAGGCCCTGGGGAAGAATAGTGTGTCACACTAATCAGGCTACCTTCTCTAAATAAAGTATTATTATTATATAAATTTGGGACCTTAGTCTTTGACCTTTTGACCTCAGAATCAGTAGAAGTCTTTATTACATCATATTGACTAAAGGTATAAAATTTCATTGCAAAAAAAAACCTCAAAAAGAACTAGAGATATCACTAGGAAACCATTTTATGCAAGATATGAATTTTTCACCTTGACCTTATGACCTAAGAATCAAAAGGGGTCTTCTTTAAGTCATTGGCTTTTAGAATACAAGATTTCATTGAAAAAGCTCAAGAAAAACTAAAGTTATTATCTGGAAACCATTCATTGCATTGTATGAATTTCTTACCTTGACATTTGTCCTTTTGACCTCAAAATTATTAGTGGTCTTTTTTGGCCAAAAGGAGTTCTGATGTAAAATTTCATTGCAAAAGCTGAAAGGCTTCTTAAAATTTTGCCCAGAAACAAAATTGTAACACACAGAAATAATGTATGAATTTATGACCTTGACATTTGACCTTTTGATCTCAAAATCAATAGGGGTCTTCTTTAGCCATAGGAAGTTATGATTTGAGATATTGTCCTGAAATGAACATATTACACACAGGCAGAACAAAAGATAGATAGATGGATGGACAGACAGACCCAAATCAATACCCCTCACTTTCAGTGAAAGTGAGCAACAAAAAACATCATTTTTTCCCCTAACCCAACTCTTATTCTGTTGAGGTGGGCTTTACTATGTACATAAACTCAATAAAACAAAAAAAATAACATGTCCAGTCCTAAATACTACCGAAACACTCTTAATTATTTGTTGTTTTTAATTGACCAAATGTTTCAGTAAGAGTGTTTTCTAATAAGTTTAATGATAGGATGCTCTTGTTTTACAATACAAACTTTCTTTCTTGGAAAATCTAATGTGACCACATTGTGTCCACCATTTTGTTTCCAACAAATGCTTAAAATACAGTAGAACAAACATAACTATTTTGATATAATTGAATTTGGATAAAACTGGATTTTTTAAGTTATTTAATTTAATTGGGTCAGCCACATTTGGGGAAAGAAATGTATTCCTTACTTTGGCCTTAGCATATACATGTACTACAATTAGCAGAAGTGCAAAAGAGGCTAAATTTAACCACTGAAATTCAGCATGTCTTCAATAATGAGTGCAGCAAGCGGTGCGAAGTGAGCTCACTAGACTAACGTGTAAGAACAGAGGAAATTCGGAATGAAACCTGCACATTCGTCAGGCAAATTTTCTTGTGCAACATTCCCAGAATTTCTTCACTTCCAGGATTCGAAGACCAAGGCTAATTGTAACCAAGAGATATGTTTACTTTACTTTCTTTGCAGAGAGCTTAAAAGAAACAAAAAACAATTGTATTTACTCTACAACGTATTTCATTAAATATTGCACAAGACCTGAGTAGTCTTGTTCAACTAGACGCTCAACTGTCTCCATAACTCCAACGTCACAGTCTAGACTGTGTCTCGTGCGGTTTGAAGTTTGAAGAAGCGGATCAACGTTACAAGTGTAGGCTGTCTATAGGTTTTTGATGGACAACTGCGCTCACCCCAACTGTCACACCGTAAAATATACAAGTATAAGTACAAAATTTTTTGCATTAAGGTTATAAACACTATCACTGCTTGCTAGTATGGTGAGACTGACCAAATGACTGTGGGTAGTAGGTGAAGGATTTGGGTTCGCTGGTTTCTGTGTCTGACTTTCTCTGTAACATTATGATTACAGACACAGGCCTGTCTATGTTTGGGTTCTTGTATGCTGGAGTCTTGAAGACAATGGCATACTGCAAAATAAATCACATTAGATATACTACACAATGAACATAATGCATCAAAATCAAAGTAAAAGCTTAAAGATGCAAAAACAGAATCCTTCAGAGACTTGCCTGCCTGTGTACATCAAATGGACCAAAGTTCCCAAACGCTTCCCAAATTGTCTTCCCATCATCGTCTTGTTCCACAAAACGGACCTGGATATCATCTACAAAGTAATCAAACAATATAGATATCCATTATATTTGAGGGATAAACCAAACTAGACCACAGCCATTTTGGATACAGAGTATTCTTATAATTATTTAAAAACACATGTATATATAACAATTTAATTTAAAAACAAAACTTGAATGCAAAACAGACATGCCCTGGTTTCGGTTCAGTTGTATTGGAGACAGATTTGAGGTTCACCTTGTCCAGGTGACCTTGGTAAAAATTCAAGACTTATTTTCTGATCACAATTGACCTCTGTGTCAGATAAAATTTTTCCATTAGAAAGTTAAGGGGTGGAAAAGAATTGTATACATATTCACATTTCACTTATTTGTCAGATTTCCCTTTTCAGATTATTTTGGTGGAATTTGTGATTGATCAGCTGATATTTTTACTAGAGCAGTTTCTTATTTCAGATCAATATCCTATTATTATATTTACCTGTGTATCAAAGTACATTTTGTGGTTTGACCTCAATATTTGACCTTTTATTTTTATGCAATCAATATACATAATAAACAATACACATGTTAAAATCAAAATCATTAGAATCTGTAAGCACTTGTAAGAATATGTCCTGACATTTTGTCAGTGATAATCAACGGATTTGTTCAGTAAATATTACAATTAGTTATTCAGAAAGATACTGTTATCACTAAGGACTTTTTTAAACATGTAAGTCATACATAGAGTATTGGACTAAAATTTATCCCCTAAAAATCTTACTTATATGGGATTACATGTATAAATGGTACATCCAATTTCTTTGACCTTGAACTTACCAAAATGACTTTTGGTAAAGAATATGACTCTGGTAATATGTCATCTTTTTGTTAAGTACAATGTTTCCATGTTGTTTACTTCAAAATGTGAGCAATGATGTCTACTTCAAAGACATGAGCAGGGTAAAGTTGCATACAGACAATAAACTTTCATCCTAACCTTTGATCACAGAGGCATAAAACAATAATTAACATCAGTATTTTTAAAAGATACAAATAAAATATCAGGAAACAGGGTTACATTATTTATTTTTCAAATCTGACCTTTTTGAACTCTTTCACACAGTAGAAAGACCTCTTCATTTCCTGTACAACAGCCACCATATTTGTCCATACGACAGATCTTCAATGCATTGGCTCCTGGGGCCTCTAGAAAAATGATAAGCCAAAATAAAAAACTAAATGCTCAGTTCACTGTGTTTTAAAATCACAGCATAAAAAAACTACATGTACAGATCATGCTACGAAACAGATGAATTGTTTTCGGTATCATCATGTGAAAATATACAGTAAAACATTTATTAAAAGGAAACATTATGATTGTGAATTCATGCTTATACTAATGTTATCAATAAATTACTGACTCCTTGGAGGAAATTGACTGTATGCTTTGAACAGTAACACTTACTGCTATCGTATATAGCCGTTGACAGAACAGGCGGCAGTAGGTGGAAATTTTTGCCACTTTCATCTCGGAGATAGGCCTGGAAGCATAGCTTAACAACATTCAGCTGCATGTCTTTGGCTAACTGATTGGCCTGACTACTAGCTTGGCTTTTTTCATCATCTTAAAAGTTATATTTGCATATGAATAATTTGAAGAATGGAGATAAAAAATACTTCTCATTTTATATACATAACTTGCATTTAAATTTTCAATATTCAATTATTTTTTTATCAAATGAAAAGAATTTAAAATAGCATTAATAATTTTGAAAATACTATCCCAGTAAAATAGTACAAAGCTGCCCATGCAATAAATTTAAGTACAGTTTATTGATTTTTTTCTTTCTTCTCTCACCTGATAAATCAGTTTGGGCATTGAGGTTTCCTAGTTTGACTTGTTTATCGAGTTTCATAGACTCTAGTATTCTGTATTCTATAACCTCGCTGGCCTTCCTTCTTGTTACATGCTGAATACACAAGTTTGGAAATCTGGAAGAGAATGAAAAGCAATTGTCATAACTTGTATTACACACATCTGGCAGTGGTGGATTTAAAGGGGCATAAGAGGTGTTTGCCTGGGTGTATTACAATAATACCTGAAAAACAGTTTAGTATTAAGTTGCACTTTGCTTGTATAAAAACAAACTGTCATTGTAAAAGTTGACTCACTGATAATTATTTAATTCCAGAAACAATTTTGAACATTTTGGAATTAGTGTCATTTTTCACCAAGTGCCAAATTGAAGTGAAACCTGGATCCTTCCCTGCACCTTGGTACAAGCTTTATCATTATTATCAAGAAGTACATCAGGGATTTACAGAAAATATTGAAAGCATTAATTTTGAATTGCCCACTCATAAAATCACCAAAGTTCGAATTAAAGTCACAAAAAATGAAGAGTTTAAGCACGTAAAAATTAGGAAATCATATCTAGTTCCTTATCACCACATGTAAATTTCACTAAACATTCTTTCTAAAGATTAAGATACGATCTAAGAAATTCTTCCTTATACAAGATAAAAACAATTTTTTTTCAAACATAGTTCCTTTGTTATATAAGATTAACTGAACTGTTATATCACATACGATTGAGTTGTTAATTAGATTCTTGTTTCCGAGAAGTCATGTGAATCAATAAGATACAGACTTACGTGACAGTGTTTTGGTTAGGCTTTAGCTCAACAATACACGATCCATTAGAACAGTTTTTGCCCACTAACTTGTGAGCATGAGGCTTTGGGATTGTTTCATTTGTTACCAAACTGACAACAATACGAGCTGAACCATTGTAATTCCGTATCTGTTTAAAAATAAAGAAATTACTAGTCATTATTAGAGTACTAAACACATGATGTAGAAATGATCATTCACATTTATCTAAAGGAAATAAAATAAATGTAAAATTTTAATTAACAAAAATAAAATGCACACTTTAATCAGAGAACATTTTGAGACAAACCCTGATGGAGGGAAATGTTTTCCTGTATTTCTCACTCTTCTCTCCCTGGAGTCCCCCATGAGATGGTCCCTCACACTCGTATCGAAATCGGAATCCCCGAGCTTGAGGCTGCTCAACAATCTCCACATATGGCTCTATCAAAACATGTATTGTAAAAATATAAACAAAAGAATATTCACTGAAAAATAACATGTCTTATAAAACTTATCATTCAATTAACTTATCAGGCTAGACATACAAAAAAAAGTTTTGTTCAAGAATGCAATTATTACTGGCATATGTCAATTCCAGTTTACAGAATCTAAATGTAGTTCAGAAATAGTGATACTGTGTGTGGTAAAAGTTCATGCAAGTTTAATCTTACCATCAGGAAGGTGTTGGTAAGTAGTGATATTAACTATGGTATAAAATATTCATGTTCTTACCATCTGGAGGGTGTTCATAAGTTGTGATAACGTGGTATAATATATTTGTGTTTTTCCCCTATGTAGCATGTTGGTAAGTAGTGATACTATGTTCCTGGCTCCGGGGCCATAAAACTGAGACGAACTCACTTTGATCTCGGTCTCACTTTTCCACTATATATTCCTTTAGTTGTATGGCCCCCGAGCCTGTTCTTACCATCAGGAGTTGTAAGTTGTAAGTAGTGATACTATGTATGGTATAACATGTTCATACCATCAGGAGGTGGTGGTAAGTAGTGATACTATGTATGGAATAACATGTTCATACCATCAGGAGGGTGGTGGTAAGTAGTGATACTATGTATGGTAGAACATGTTCATACCATCAGTAGGGTGGTGGTAGGTAGTGATACTATGTATGGTATAACATGTTCATACCATCAGGAGGTGGTGGTAGGTAGTGATACTATGTATGGTATAACATGTTCATACCATCAGGAGGGTGGTGGTAGGTAGTGATACTATGTATGGTATAACACGTTCGTACCATCAGTAGGGTGGTGGTAGGTAGTGATACTATGTATGGTATAACATGTTCATGTTCTTACCATCAGGAGGGTGGTGATAGGTAGTGATACTATCTACGGTATAACATGTTCATACCATCAGTAGGGTGGTGGTAAGTAGTGATACTATGTATGGTATAACATGTTCATGTTCTTACCATCAGGAGGGTGGTGGTACTCTGAGACTATTCCCCCATTATGATCCATTTTCATCATGGGGATCTCCACAGAGTCTGAAGAATCATCATGCTCCATTTTCTGCAAAACAGTGATGTAAAAATAACAATGTTGGGGAAGTTAAAGATAGTTATTATAAAGTGGAAGGTTTAAGAGACTTTAAGAGTTATAAAGGTAGTTCATTATTTCATTCCAGTGGGAGTGAGTGGGATTATACGTAGTAGGAAACTTCAGAGTGGGAAGAATGTGGATTTATACAGGAAGTTGATGACCATGGTATTGGAAAAGAATTGAATAAGAAAAAAAAAACCACTTGTCATATCAATGCCTGAATACTTACAGATTTTTTTCACTCTCTGAATGAAAGCTGAGTTAATATGAAAAACTATTTCAAAAATGAAAGTTTTAAATAAACTAGAAGTCTCTGAAGAGACTGTAGCTCTACTGGTTTGTACTTATATTAAAGGAATAGAAAAGTTGCACTTGAAACTATGCAACAGCAATAAATGGAATAATGGTCCTTGGTTTAGTGTCTTTTTGTTGCAAGATTTATTGCAATCAGACTAAAACTGTTGGAGGAGTAGCCTTTTGAAAGAATTTTACAGAAATTTCTATTTTAAGTAACCATGGCAAGAGAGTTCATCAAAATCAAAAAACTGATAAACAGTATTATGTACCTCAGTGTAGTCTACTTGGGCCTTTGTTTTTGTACTTAATTTGACTACAGAATGTTCCGTCTACTTGATCAATACATAGGGCTCACGGCAGGTGTGACCGGTCAACAGGGGGATGCTTACTCCTCCTAGGCACCTGATTCCACCTCTGGAATTTCCAGGGGTCCGTGTTTATGCCCTGTTCACATATTTGTATTGTTTGTCGTTTTAATGAGATCGATCACTGTTCATTATTTTCACCCTTTTTCATTCACATAAGTTTCATAATTTCTGGCCCAGTGGTTCTTGAGAAGACTTTTGAAAGATGTTATTTAATTTTCATTAATTCTTAATTATTTCTTTAAAAGATGCCATTTAATTTTCTCTAATTCTTTATTATCTCCCAAAAATATTATCACCCAAGAATACCAGTGGCATATATTCCTTCTGCTAATGTGTTGGCTAATGTGAAGTCACAGATTTCACCAAAAGCGTGAATTGCTGAATTGGGAGTAGGCAAGGAGGGAGTCACCCCCTCTCAATGAGGGGTGGATGTCGGAGGACCACTTTCTGTGAACTTGGAGACATCTATCATTGTCCCAGTGAATATAATTATAAATCATTTGGACATATTTCTGTGCTACAGAAATTAAAATCTTCATGACCACACTTAATAAAATTGAGAAATTTTTAATTCCCTACACAGTGCTTGGTAATTATGGAAACTTCTATACTGAATAATCTAAATATAATTTTTAAAATGTTTTATGTTTGACTTCCTACTAACCGAAACATATTTCCTAATCTCTATTCCCTGTCCTAATTGTAGACTCCTGTTGCTGTCATTTTTTAATAGTCTGATATTGACTTAAAGGTAACATTTCAATTTTTAGATTTAACCAGCTATAAAAATCAAAAGTTTTGTCATTATATATAAACACTGTCAAAGTTGGATAGGCATAAAAGTGTGAATTGCTAAAAATACTTTTATTGATTCTAGTAAACTGGTAAATAAATAAGATTCATGATCAACTTTCCCCCATTTTTAAACTAAATACATGTACAGTAAAACAAGCTTATAGCGAACACGCTTATAACAAATTGAGGCTTATAGCAAAGTGATTTTCATTCCTCATGACTTTAAAATATATTGTAAACTTATTGGATATACCGAATTATGCTTATAACGAAGCAAAATCGCCCATCCCTGGCACTTCGTTATAAGCGTGTTTTACTCAATTACTGTATAAATATATATATTTTTACATCAAGAATATGATGTGTAGGCTACAGCCTTTTTGCCTATATGGAATATATGCCATTGAGTGCTTTGAGGCAAGTTTGGTTGAAATTGACCCAGTGGTTCTTGAGAAGAAGTTAAAAATTCTCTGCATCAGATGCCTAATGTTGTTTATAAATATATATATAAATCATATATATTTGTATCCTAAATCTGAGGCCTAGCACCTTTGGAGGAGTTTGACGTCTAGCAGCTAATGGCCAAGTTTAGCCCATCTAACTGATCTCTTGCCCTTGGTTATTTAAAAAACACTGAAACAATGAAATCAGTTCTATCTGATGATTAATGTCACAGTAGGTAAAAAATCAAGACTCAACCAGGACTTGAACCCAGGGCCTCTGGCGTACTGTCCCAGCGCTCTAACCACTGAGCTATTGAAACCCAATAAGTTGACTGACTTTCACAACCTGTGAACCCTGTGACATATTCCCCCTCTTTGTAAAATTCGTCCTCGAATTCTAGGAGTTAAGGAAATGCTGTAAGGCATGTTCCCAGGGAATAGTGATGTTGGGTGCCAAATGTCACAGATGGTGAAAAATCAAGTCTCAACCAGGACTCAAACCCAGGGCCTCTGGTGTACCATACCAGCATTCTAACCTCTGAGCTATCGAGACCCAATATGTTGACTGACTTTCACACACCTGTGAACCTGGTGACATTAATATAACATTTTATAGAATAGAATGGAATAAAATATGATTTATTACCAAATCAGGGCCTAAATGAGCATAAACATATAACATATATAATTACAGATAAAGTAAAAGACAGAATACAACATATAATGAAGAGTAATTCTTCAATTAATACATTGTTGGTATTTTTAAGATTCATATGTGGCTAAATCACATAAGTTGTTATATATAATTAACTAAAGATATATCTGCATATTTATTTGATAATCTATGAGTTAACATATGCATTATTATATACATCATTCTGAACCCATAACATATGCCTGACACATCAACAAGAGGCAGCAAGAGTTGGTGCTAAAGGATTTTATAAGAACTTGATATAAACAATGATAAATAATGGTGTCCAATGCAACATATACTCTACAAATAAGGTTTAAGTTAACAGGTTTGTGGGTATCACAAACAGCATTTACCAGCCACCAGAACCGTTTTCAGAAAATGTGATTGACAAGTTGTCTCCCTTGAAAGTAACATTATTACCTAATTTTGAAAGCTAAAATACAATTAAGCACCAGAGAGATACGTAGTGAAATGTTTATCAATCTGTTAAGATTATCAATAATGCCCTCTGGTTATATACAGAACTTGTTTTCTTACCGATCAATGTGTATTACAAGATGAGCTATAAATAGATACACAAGCTGCTACAAATATGCGTTTTGGGCTTGAATGTCTGATTAACGCTCAATGATTTATGATTAAAGTGTAAAAAAGGACTCACCTCTAACTAAATACCCACAAAAACTTCAGTATATGTCATTTAAAGCTTTGAGTTTTCGTTGTTTTGCTTCGTGATATTTTTCTTTTAAAAGCATATGGAAATCCCAAAATTAGGGAATTTCCCTTTCCTTTCTATTGGATGATTTGATCACGTGGAAAACATCAAGCTCTGCTACGCGCTTTGTTTTGAAGTCATCGTAAGAATGGATCTAGGCCTACAGTACAGTGCTAGTGCACTAATCCTAATTTTTTACTGATCAGTAAACGTGGTAAACTTCAAGATAGGTCTCTCTTGGACATGCAGTCCGACAAAGATGACTGGAAAGTGTATATGACTACTAGGCGCACTGCCATATCTGGGAAGCTGTGCAGAGTGCAGAATTGTCGTCACTTAGGCCATAGTTGAAACGACATACATGAAGAAGATATTCGGGCATTACGATTATTGTTACTGTTAGGCGACATGAAACATGTGTGTATAGAACGTCTCCCTTTATGTAATTCATTAACTCATCCAGAAAAGCTCATCGTCATCTAAGCTCAGTGGACTTTTCCCAAACGTTTCAAACCAGAGAGTGAGTAAGTTGACAGATCTGTAGCTACGGCCATTTTTGTAGAGCTAGAGTTAAATATGACTTTTGTAAACCCCCCCCCCCCCCCCATAAAAAGCATCCTTCTGCCCATAGGTAAAAAAGACAAAATCGTGATTTCAAAATCCTTTTTGTCTTTTAACAGTCACATGAAGTTGGAGTCAATCTCACAACTTCCTGAAATCTAGACGAAAATGGTAACATACCGAGTAGGACATGTAGGAAGCATGATGATGTGTTGTGTACTGATGGGGAAAAACTGCAAGGAAGCATATCTGGGTTATTTACAATGCCTGAGAATAACAGAAATATTGTAGGAGTTCAAATCATGCTTCCCAGAATCATACTAAGGTTGATGTAGGGATATATGGAGAAGAAAATCCTTTTAAAAAATCTGATGAGGCAGAGTTGTCCCTAAGACTCAGGGGCCGGGGAATTTCCTGCCTATAATGATATAATCCCCCAGTTATTGAAGCATCTTCAAGTAGTGTAAATTCTAATTTGTCCCCCAGGGGTAGGATTGGGCTGCAATGGCCAATCTGAATTTTATATAAGAAATTGAGAATATATAGGAAAAATCTTTTAAAGTCTTCTTTTTCAGCACAGCAAAGCCATGATTAATCATATATTTATAAAAGCATCTTCAGATTTAAGTTTGCTTAATCATGACACCTAGGGATATGATGGGGCTAGGGCCACAATATATTAATTATCTTAATTTTACATAGGAATATACTCAGAAAAAATCCGCTGATAAAGAACAGAAGGGCCATAGTTACTCAGGTGAGTGTTGTGACCTATGAACCTTTTGTTAAATTTTTTTGGAGTAGGTCCATTCCTATGTAACTATTACCTTACCTATGTTGCGCCTGCATAGTAAACCTTTAGTGTTGTTTAAAATGTATATTTCATAGTTATGTTTTCGATATAGGACTAAGATGCATGTTTACCCTTGGTACAACAAACATCTGTGCTTAATTTTTATTACATGGATTACGTTTACCTTCAGTGCATATTTAAGCATATGTTCCATTCTAGTGTCTTTAGAATTATTATGATTAATTAGAAGTCTTGTAGTACTCAACATTAAAAGATTTATTTATTACCGGGATTTCGTTATATGACAACTGGAAATGCATAAGATTCAGTAATTGCGGAAACTTTATGGTAGAAATGAATATATCCGGATTGTTAGCAGACATAGTTTCTGAATGTATAACTCTAGAAATAATAAGCTTAAAATAATTATAAAATTATAGATATATAAAATAAATCTTTTGGAGTATTATAAGTAGGTTGGATAATCCTAGTTTATTGATAAAAATATTGTTTTTGGAGTTTTACATTTTACATATGACGTAGTCGCTGCATCACTGCGTCACAGTATAAAAGCAGCAAATTTGTAGCAGCGTTGTCAGATCTCCTCCAGAAAAATAAAGAAAAAGTCGGTGTTGGTCGGTGCCAGTAAAGTTTAAGGTAAATTCATATTTTAGATAAGTTAGAAAAAGTTTCAAACCTTCTTAGCCTATTTAGAAATAGTAAATTAAAATGTAAATTCTTTAGAAAATATTTGAGAATTTTTATTAGCTTTAAAGTATTCAGATATTGACTACTCGGTGTGAGATTCTGAACCAAAGTTTGTTTCTTAAATTATTAGATAAAATTTTAGTATTATTGACTGTGCAAGTTCAGAATAATTAATTCCGTTTTTATTGAGATTTAGCTAAAGTTAATTTACAGTGTAGTTTGGCACCGGCGGCACCGAACACCGGGTAGCACCGTGCACCTGGTCGCACCGAGCATCGAGTAGTCCCGAGCACCGAGTAGTATATATTTAGACCATTCTAAGTTGCATAGGTTATAAATGATGGTTGGCATTGGCACAAGAACTTTCCTATCTACGCATGACATGCTAGCATAGGATGGGGGGTGGACTTTTTGTTATTAAGAAGTAGAAATTTGGATTTCAGATATAATTCTGATTACAGTATCAGAGTTCCTGATTGTGCCTGTATAGTTATACCTAGTAGTAGCAGCAGATAGCACCGAACATCTTGAAGCTCCGGAAACCGAAAAGTAGTACAGAACACCTAGTAGCACCGGAAACCTTGTAGGCTTGTAGCACCGGAAACCGAGTAGCACCGAACAGCCTCGAGCACCGAGAAGCACCGAGCACCGTGTATACGTAGCACCGAGCTCCGCGGAAGTTCGGCAGTATACTTAATATTGAAGAGACATTTTAAATATTTATTGAACTTTATTGTCTTTGATGCTATAATAAATATATGTACTGATGCTATAATAAATATATGTATTAACTGTTTATATATATTTCTTTTCTTTATTAAAACTAGGTACCTTCGAACCCACTATTGTAACGTGCCTCATAGGTACTGAGTTGATGTAAAATTACACGTTACAATTGGTGGCAGCGAATTTATTTAAATTTACTTATAAAACCCAAAACGTTACACCTATTAGGCTATTACAAACTTGCATGGATGATGCATTTAAAGGACATTGTATTTTTCTAAATTATTTGAAATTAAAAGCATAAAACGGAATTAATTTTTTTCAGCATTTTTCGTAATTAAGCTGTATTTGTGGTTGATAACTCCATAAATAGTGTGCTTATTCTCATCTCTTTATCACTGAATTGTTGCCTATGACGTCAGAGCAGTATTTTGCAGAAAATTGACTGATATATGAATATTGTCGTATTTGAATTTCAACTTTCAATATCTCTTAAAATATGCTTTCAACATTGTTTATCTTATTCAGTATTTTAATAAATAAGGTTGTAGATAATATTTTTCACAAAATTACGATACTTGAAAGATCATGCGATAAGTCCTTTTAGGATGAACACTACCTGACCTGCTTCGGATGCTGGATCTGACCTATATTTTTTCAGATGAGTGAATATTAGTCCTATCAGAAAAAAATCAGCATGGATGAAGTAGCTAGGGATGGCCCACTACCATGCTTGCTTCGGATGCTGGATCTGACCTACATTTCTCAGAAGAGTGTCGAGGTTAAAGTTTTTGGAGTAGGTCCATTCCCAAATAACTCTTAAGCCCTTCCTGGGCCCTATGATGGATGATGTATCTAGGGATGCACTTTATAGGTGAGTGTCCAGGATATTTTTGGAGTAGCTATGTAACTACACAACCTGTTATATTACTAAAATTTGTATGGATGAAGCAACCAGAGATGAACATAATGGACTTGCTTCAGATGCTGGATCTGGCCTACATTTTCTGGATGAGTGAATAGGTTTAAGTTTTTTTAGCAGGCTTATTCCCATGTAGCTATAAGTCCTACTTATACCAACCTTGCATGGATATTGATATCAGGATGCACACTAATTAGATAAAATTTGTGTGAGATTTGCCTTACTTATAGGTAACATTTTTGATTACCTATGTAATAACTAAACTTATGACAGGAATTTTAGAAATCATCTTATTTTTGCATTTTCAGTAATGTCATGGCAAAGCTGAAAATAAATGTCACTAATAATTTCATCCCTAATATTGGCTGAGAAAATAAAAAGAGTTACCACTTACATGTAAGTTGCTTAACTTTTTACACTAATAATAAATGGCCACTTTTAAAATAAGATTGCTAAACTTGCCTGTCACAAGAATAGCCTGTTATATATTATATTTGAGTTTATTTCATAAGATCTTGGCACAGAGTATCATTGGGTAAAGGGGATTCAAGTTTTTTTTTAATTGAAGGGCCACACCTTCTTCAAAGGGGAGATAATTAAGAAATAGTGAAAATTGGGAGGAGTTATTGAATCTTCTTGAGAACCACCGGGCCAGAAAAGATGAAACATATGTGAAAGCTTTCTGGGAAATTGTAGATTCAAGTTTGTTCAAATCATGACTTCCCAGGGGCAGGGTGGGGCTACTATGGGCTATCAAAGTACATAGTAAAAATCTTTAAATTTCTTCTTCTCAGGAATAGCAAATTCATGATTAATCATATTTACATGGAAGCATCCTCTGGGAGTGTAGATTCAATTTTGTTTAAATCATGACCCAAGGGAGTGAATGGGGCCACCATGGACGATCAAAGTTTTACATGGGGAAAATCTCTTAAATTTTTCTTCTCAAGAACAGCAAAGTCATGTTTAGTCATGTTTATAAGGAAGCATTTTCAGGTAATTTAGATTCATATTTGTTCAATTCATGGCACCTGGGGGTAGGATGGGGCCACTGTGGGCAATTGAAGTTTTAAATAAGAATGCATAGGAGAAGTCTTCTTAAGAACAGCAAAGTTATGATCAGTCATATTTATATGCAAGCATCTTCAGGTTGTGTTGATTCAGGATTGTTCAAATCATGAACCCCCCCCCCCCCCTTCTATGGGAAGGGTGGGCCATGATTGGTGATCAAAGTTTTAAATAGGAATATATAGAAAAAATCTTCTAGGGAACAGGAAAGCCATGATTATTCATATCTGATACAGTTGAACTTCGGTATCTCGAACAATGATATCTCAAATACCATGGATATGTTGAAGTGATTTGAAAGTCCCAACTACTTATTCTCTAAGTATTTTACCCTTGATATCTCGAATCCTCGGGTATCTCAAAGTTTTTTCTCGGTCCCAATGAGTTTGAGATAACTAGGTTTGACAGTATATGGTGGAAAGTTTGTTCAAATCATGACACTAAATTCACATAAGGAAAATCTTTTAAAGTCCTTAAATTCTTAATAACAGCAAAACCATGATAAGTATTATTTATATGGAAGCATTCAATGACACCTGGGGGTAGGGTGGGCCACAATATACATGTATTATCATAGGGGTGCAACGATACACTAACCTCACGATATGATACGTATCACGGTATTCAGTTCACGATACGATACGTATCACGATACATGACAAGGTTAAAAAGTCTTTCAAGTTTGTCATCATATTTTTTTTAAACTTGACAGGGTTATATAAAATGTTCATATTTTTTAATAATAATTAAAATAAAATTTTGTTAACTTGAATTGGATTGTTAGGTAGATCTTTGAGTTTTGACAATATTCTAAACCAATGATGAATATTTACAGGGAACTACGGGGACCTTTCCTAATAATCTTCCTTTTAAATTGGAATGAAAAAGGAATACGTTCATTCTTTTATTCCTTTTATTTTACGTAGAAAACCAGTTGTCATATTTCTTGTGTTAACACGTTTTAGTCAACAAGACAATGAATTTTCATCGAAATACACACGTGATGAAATATCGTGTATTTCTAAAGAATACGTTTAGATCTAAAGAGTTTATCATTTGTCTTAACATCTATAACTTATAATCACATTAAGTTCCTTCTCCGTGTTAAATCTGAGGTCTGTAAGATGCTGGAGATGAGTTTAACTTCCGGTAATGCGTTATCGGCGACCACACGTTTTGCGGGGAAGCCATTTTGAAATTGTGAAAGAGGAAACAAAACGGATGATTCGAATAATTCTGGACCGATTGAACGAACCGCGATATCAGTGAATTGAACCGTGGAAAAATATACCGCGATATACCGTCAAACGGTTTATCGTTGCACCCTTATATTATCATAATTTTACATAGGAATATATTGGGTAAAAAATCTGCTGATTAAGAACAGAAGGGTCATAATTACTCAGGTGAGTGTTGTTGACCATGGGCCTCTTGTTTATTTTTGGAAGGGGAAGTGGTTATGATTAAAATGAAAATTAATGACTTTTTATGCCGTACATTGTTTGTTCATGTAGTATTGGAAGGTTGGATTATTTAAGAAAGATGTGAATGTTTAACACTATTTTTTTTTTTTTGGTAGCCATTGGATTTGGTCTTTAAATATATGTTGTTTAATGGAATTTTTCACAAAAATTCTAAGTGCTAGCTGATGAAATGTTTAAAAAAATGCTTATAACTTCCATAAACAGGGCGTGTTTATTTACATTGTTGGAGGGTATTTTCAGATGGAATGTAGACAGTTATGGCAGATGCTACTGATTGGTCGGCCAGCCTCTGGTGTGACTTCAGGTCATTTCCCCATACACCTGCAGTTTCCATTTCAACCAGAACAAGCCTACATATTTTTACAGTGCACTGTACAAGTTCTCACGAGTTACTGGTGAGTTTTTCACATCAAAGCTTGTTAAGGTTGATGTAAACTCAGCACAATATGGAACTTATAAATAAATGCGAGTATTTTTATTGTATAAGTTTATAGCTTTTTCATTATACATGTACTAAGATTTAAATACATGTACTGATCAAATTCTTTCAGAACTCAAAAGAAAATTTGAAATTGTGAGATTTTAAATCATGTTAATCAAAAATAAATTTCCTGTAGCATTAGCAGATAACTGGATAATTAAGAAGCATTTAAAACCTTTATCAGTGTTCTGTACTACACTTTGAAAAATTGTTTTAATTTACTGTGTGATAAGATTTTTATTATTTATTAATTGGTAATGATGAAAAATTATTTTCAATAGGTAATCACCTCTGACATTAGAGAGTTCCCTGTCTCTTATATAGGACACTTTTGATTGGAATACTTAATGTGGCTGATAAATAAGAACCACTCGCCCCGCCACCCCGCAAAAGGTCTCACATGTCTAATGAAGTCAGTAATTTTAGTGATTTATAATTCTCCATTTTTATTGAATTAAGAAATTGTGAAAACACCAAGAAAAAGGCCCTGTAGTTGTAAAGAAATTTAATATAATATAAAGCTTAACATTCATGTGCCTGGTCATTTATCAGAAGTGTGGGGGTTAAGCAAATAGATATTTACTATGAAATTCGCCACTGATAGAAGTTTAAATAGGTTTAAATGCTGCATTTTGAGAGTTGCCTGGATTATTCAAGGGTTGCTTATAAAAAGGTCATAGATCTTCCTGACCAGTCTCAAATGAACACAAAACACATCTATAAATCTTGCCTTAAAGATAAAATGCAAAACTTAAAGATATTTAATAGTAGGACATGAAATGAGGATGTAAGATAATGCCTTCAGAAAAGGACCTAAATTCAGGCAGCTATTGTCAAAAAAAAAATTATGAATTATTTTTATGTTTTAATTCGGTCTTTGTTGGTGTACATTTATATGTAATATTTTGTCTGAGATTTCTTATTGTAAATGTAATTGATTTACCAGACCAGTGTCTTGTAAAAATAAATATGTTACCATACTCTAACTCAAAAAATCTTAGATTTTTTGGCATCAGAAGGTATGGCTAAGTAAGGGGAAGTAACTAGATTCTCATTGTAAAGTGCAGGCTTTCTATAAATGAAACATTTAGAGTTAATTAAGCATTATAAAAATAAAAAAAATAGTGTGGGATGATCAAGGCATAATTTCTTTTTAAAAAAATCTTTTCATAGATGAGAATGGAACCAGAATATACTTTGTTAAAATGTGTGAACAGTATAATTGAAATCTAAGTTGTTCCTCAAATTGTTACAAGTCATTAATGGCATGTGATTTACTGAAGGTACATTTGCCAAAAGAATCTGGCATCATCATCAAAAACTAACATAATGCTTCAAATTGATGCAGGAAAAAAGGAAATTTGATTTGTACAACAGGTCTGGGGTGGTATAATCATGTTGACCGTAGAGTGAACTACTAATTTACATCAACAGATGAAAGAATATTTAGAATCCTATAGCTACTGCATGCATTCCATCAGAAAGGAAGAGGAAACTGATATGAATGTTTGGCAGAGTTTCTGTGTACCATTATACTGCATGGTAAATTAATTTGGGTATTTTAAGAGTCAGTTTTCTGAAGAAAAACACTGACATGCTATTATACTGCAGACAGACTGGTGTTGGTTTATCAGAGCTCGGGAACTGTTAGTCTCATTTTGTGATGAAAAACTGGTAAACCATTGGTTTGTTTGTTTTAGGATGGGAAACATGTGACAGCCTGGCTGGTGAACTGGTGAGTGTGGGGTCAGGACCCGGCCAATTTATTTAGTGTTGGTAAATATTGGACAAAGCTTGATAAGGAGATTCTGACATAGTGACACAGGGTGGCGCACTCTTGTATATGGTCAGATTGTCAAGTGTTCTGGGGCTATTTTCACAACAAAGGTTTGAATTATTTAAATGAGAACATTTCTTTCCTGTTTATTAAATTTCAAAATATTTTTGAATGAAATTTAAAGGGAGTTTCATTATATGACATGATCTATGGCTTTTTTTTTTTTTTTTGTAAAAAAAATTAACTATAAAGGTAAGTTTGATTAGCTAGAAGGATCAGGCGATATTACCTACTGACGTAATAATCCAAGTTGAACTGAAATTTGTACTAGTACATTTATGTTTGAAATGACTCACAGCTTTTGATTGCACTCAAAACTATTTCAACTGTTAACAGCAATTAATAAGGGTGCTATGTATCCCACAGCTAATAGATGTAATTAAATGTAAATGAAAACTTACAAAAATAAGATAAAAAGGTATCATGTTTTAGAAATGTTGAATTAGGGCCCATAGTAAATGATCGAAGTATATTGTCCACTGATACAATGATGCCACCAGGGACATGATTTATTATAAACGTCCCATCTGTAAAATTTGAAAATCAGTTTGGTTGTATGACCTTCTTTATAAGCTGTTTGTCAGCCTGCCGTGAGGTATAACTGTTCTCAGTCTCACGTACAATAGGTGACAATGGACTATGAAATACCTTATTGGAACCTGAATCCCCGCCAGCGGGCTATAACCTCCTTCACCTGCATGCCCAATCAAGGAGGGTGAATGCCTCCTTGATGAGGACTAAATCCCCCATTTTATAGTTAACAAAGGATAGAAGGTCCAGTTCCAAACTTTGTCTCTAATTTGTAACCAGATTTCGTTGGTGGTGATACTTGAGTGACCATTAAAAGCAACTTTGTTGCTGTGGGGAAAACAAATACGGCAGTGAAAGAAGGGGCGGAACACGCATGCAGTTAAGAAATGGGAAACAGTAAGATGAGTGAAATAGATATTGTGGATGAGGGTCTTAACAATTGTTTAGTAATCAAATTTTATCACCCATTGAAAACATACTAAGATTTATGGAGTTGATCTTAAATTTGCGATTTTAACCTTATGACGTCAGTTGGATTGCATGGGCCTATATTACAAAGGATTAAATAACTACATAGGAAAAAAGTAAAAAAAAAAAAATAAAAAATTATTACCTTCAAAACTCATAAAACAACATTCTTTGATAAGTAAACCATGTTTGACACAGTTTTAACACTTAACCTTCATGAGCACTTGTAGATTCGTAAAAACTCTCTGTGTATGAGCTCAATTGAGAAAATTTCTTGATTGAGGAGACAACCTATTCTAGGGGGGGAGGTCAAGTACTGAATTTATTTGTACTCTTTTATTTGTACTCTAACAATTTTTTATAGGTCTTAGGTTTAGTGGTTCCTCATTGTTTTCTCTATGAAAAATGAATTTCATCAATTCATACTTGAGAAAAACAGCATAAAAGACTATTATACTAGATATATTTTCTAACTTTGTAAAGTCTTGAGGGCATACAGATTATTTCTAAATTTAAAACTTCTAATAGTGCATGTAAAAGTAAAAATTCATACAGCACTGTTCTTAGGACTATGTTACTTTAAAATACTGGAATTCTGAGAATTTAATCCTTTATTAGCCTTTAAAAAAATGCAACTACATGTAGCACCTGAACAGTGTGCATGACACATTGTATTAGAAGTCATTTTTCTTGTATTTCATTTGATTGTAATATTGAAGCATTGACAAAGAGCTCAAGTAAACATCTAATACATCTGAAGAATAATAAAGTGAAAGTATAATAGAATTTTATGGCATGTTAGCATATGCTTAATTAAGCTGTATGAAAAAAGGTGTTTTATCTTTTTCATTAACAGATACTGTTACATTTAATATATGCCTCTGCACTGTAATTTATTGCTTGCTCCCTCTAATTTTACTCGGGATTTTGGTTACACCTCTTAATTCATCTCGTGGAGATTTATCAAATATTGGGTTAGAGTGCTTTATGCAGAATTTTTTTGTCCACTGTAAAACAGATATAATGTGTTAATACTTCCGAAAGATTAAAAACCACTCTCTGTTTGTAACCCCTTGAACTTTGGGGTTATTTAAATACACAGTGTTTACAATTAAAGAGGCATTTTAAGTAAGTTGTAATAGGTCAGCATTGTTAAAGCTCAGGGGAATCTTGTAGCTTTTTTTTATTACGATATTAAACATTTACATATAGGCTTACCCTGGGAGCTTTAAGTGGAATGGAGCAAGATGATTGGTTGATTGTGTGGGCTTGCCTGATCTCCTGATACTCTGTCGTGGGCAGCATAGCGCACATTTGGGATTGAGGATATAAACACAAATACACAGTGAGTTCTGATTTTTACCGTTTCTACTTTTTTAAAATAACTCTTTAGAATTTTGATTTTTTTTTAATAAGTTTTACAGTAAACTTTTTTTCTGTTTTATCTTGATATTTTATTTTTTGGTTTAACCATTAATTCTTGTAATTTGTCAGTTGTGTATCAGCAGGATATACGGGTTCTACTCGGGTGGACCGAGTTCTTAAAGGGAAATATTTGAAATGAGGAAGAATAGCATACAGAGACAATGCTATCATCTAATTATCTAATGAATTTTTACTCTTGAGATTTTTAAAAATAATTTTAAAAACAATTTAAAATCATTTCTAATATCTACCTAACCTCTGAATTTAAATTCAAGTTGTAATGGTTCGGATTCTTTTTTTTCCCAGGTATTGAAGAAGTATAAACATGTTTTTTATACCTGGTATATCAAAGTTAAAATTACAAATGCTCATTTTAAATGGGATTTAGTATTCCATGCCAGTAATTGCACTTATTAAATGTTTGGTAGTTAAGTAGAAATTTAATCAATACCAATTGAATGTATTTAAACTGCATGGTTGAACATAATATAAAGAATTATTCTTTTGTTCAGCTCTAAAAATATATCAAAAATAATTGCTAATCGACATTTCATCTACTAAAATTGTATAATAATATATATGCAATTGTAAGTTTGAAAGGGCAACTTTGCAGTGACCAGAATTTCGTATGATGATTAGCCTTTATTTTCTGACTTGTTTGTGTATCCGCAAAATTACTGCATATCAGGGGAGGTTTAGATATCTTGTATTTCTATGTGTCAGTAAGAACATTGTTAATAGGGGACAACGGACACCAGGAATGACAGAAATCAGCATGTTCCTTCCTTTGATTTTTCAAACTGCGCCAGTGAAACAGAGACAGACATTGTATCTATTCTAATGACTGATAAAGACTGATATCATGCATTGAGATATCTTGTCTCTTTGATGCTCTTTGAATGAGGATGGTAAATCTTTAGTAATAATGTATGCTGTGTAATTGATACAGGGTTGTATATAATGTCTTTATTCTGAAAAAGTTTTACCTCTGACCACCTAGCTCTTCAGTTCCTTCAAATGCTGAATGTATTAAAGTGCAGTATTTCCAGGTATACAGCACAGTTCATGTAGTTGTGCAATCCCATTTTTTTTCCCTCAAGCATTTACATGTATTAATTTTTTTTCCATTGTATTTTATAATGAGATGGTACTATATAGATTTGAGCAGCAAGCTAGGAAGGAATGTTGCTTTGTGTTCTCACTTGTTTTTATTGCTCTCTTGCTAGCCTGCTTTAGAAATTTCATGGATTATCTAGAATTAATTTTTTCTGACTTGTATTCTTAGATTACAACCATACATTTATTGCTACTTGATCTGAAGGTTTAAAGTTAATTGTAAGTGACATTAGGATGTGGGTGAGACTCTGGGGTTCAGAGTTTTTCAGGGGAGATCATTCATAGATAACAGGTGAACAAGATCTATGTATTATAAGATCATATTCTAATCTGCTCGGCAGTTGTTTGTGTTTGTTGAATGTGTAAAATTTGAGGGTACTGTGATCTTCTAATGTATATACATATGTGTACTCAAGTCAGACTCACACCAAAGTTGGAAATTCTTTGATGTTTAGGGAATATGAGGTCCCTGAATTGTTGTTGTTAGTTGTAATCAGCTATTAGTCTGTCAGGATAGCTTTGATGAAATCCTTCTAATCTCTGTGGGGATCTCTTGCAGCACTCTTCAAGGCTAGACATGCAAGTGCTTCCGGAGTCTGTGATGTTCCTTGTGAAGTCCGGGGAAACTCACCTGCAATAAGCAATATACAAATTGTCTCATTGAAAACACTCTGATTAAAGGCAGTGGGACCCCTCTGTTTGACAGAATCAGACGTAAGGAGAAACAAATGAGACAATGTCCTCTTTCCATTTGATTTTTTTCTTTCTTTAATGAATGAAAACGGTTTGGATTTAGAATTTCTATTGTGATGGATGTCAGTAATGTTATCATTGCATGTTGGTAGAGAATCAGCCTTCCTTGTGTAGGGTATTGGGGTATGCCAGAGATTTTTATCTTTTACCAGAATGAATTTCATTAAATGAGAATTTGTTGACTACTGTGTCAGACGGGAGATTTATTTTGAATTGACATGTTGGTGACAAATTAGCTGACACTCATTAAATTCTCTGTCAAAATATTTTACTGCAGCAAGCCTCTGTTGCTATGAAAAATTGGACAGGAGAGTCAAGGAACCAGTAATGCTCACCTGGAAAAGTGTCCTCTGGCTATGAGCAATGTGCTTGATTGATTTGGTTGCTGATTTAAGAGCAGTTTTGTGTGGTCCCAAGATCGAGTAAAAGTTTATGGCCTTTCATCTCTTTTAGTTGGCAGATGAAAGAAAATTTTTCTGTATACTGAATGCTCTAGACATCTGGAAAACATATGTACTTTGTTGATATGTGATCATTGTTTTTTGCAAGTTTGACTGTAAAAGAATTAATTTCTGGAAAACATATGTATACTTTGTTGATATGTGATCATTGTTTCTTGCAAGTTTGACTGTAAAAGAATTAATTTCTGTCAAGATATAGTGTTCAAAAAGATATATTTTCATGCATAAAGCAGTGCATGGATGGATCCAAGATTTTCAGTTGGATTTGGCTTTGGGGGGGGGGGGGGGGGGGGGGGGGGGCAGGGGGCTTAAAATTAAAAGAAAAAAATAATTGAATACTAAAAACTATATTAAATACTTTGTAAAAATTTATTTAATAACATAAGCTTTATTAAAACTTTCTCCCCCCCCCCTCCCCCTCACTGAAAGTTGCATATCAAAAATATGGTAATAAACAATTATATACTTATTCTACAATCAATTTCATCATCTTGTATGTTATACAAAAAAACTACAAGAAATATAAGAAAATTCATGAAAGTTATAAATTGAAAAAAAAGTGTGAAAGGTTTTAAATTATTGATAAATTGTATTTTAGCAGATGATTTTATAAGCTCTTAGTTAATGCATATCTTTACGACATGCTTACTCAATTAAAGGTTTTTAAAGCTGTCTCCTTCAGATTTGGAAGAACATTGATAAATTGATTTAAATAATTGCGGAACTTGTGCTATTTCTCAGGCACTTCAGTTTGGTATACATGTATTGTGCTTAATCATGAGAATGTCATCAATGTAAAATTCTCAATATTACTGCCATGGTGTGACTGTAATCAGCTGTAAATTATACTTCTGTTACAGTATACTGTAAACTGAGACCTTAATGCATAAAGATTTGGTCATTGATAAATACATAATCCCTTTGAGACCAAAAACTCAAATATCTGCTATTAGTTTTGGAAGAGATCAATCCAATTCTAGAATTCAATACTATTTTCAATTATATAAATACCAGGAAGGAATTGAATGCCTTCCTAAAAACTTGACATTTTTCAAATTATTTTAAAAAGATGGAATTTGGGATATTAAGAAAAGAATAATCTAGCTGCATGACTGATTGTCTGATCTATTGAGCATGTATAATAAAGGGGTTACTTGTTATTGTCTGAGGTGTGGGGCATGACGATTGGAATCACGAGCCAAATTAAATCTCTGATCCCCTATCTTCTCACTTCACAAAAACTGCACTGCATTAGCTGGTCTTTTGTGGTAGTGGCTGACAATACCATATTGCAATTATTTTTGAGACCTTGAAGGAGATATCAAAGGATATAAAAATTTGAAAATGTCCCATAATGATAGTTAATGAGAGTATTGTGTGCATGGGAACAGGGGTAACTGGCACAACTCTCGGAGATTTAGCATTGAAATGACTTGGTAATAATATGGAAACATGAAAATATCCCATTAAAAACTATTTTTTTATTTTTGGGTCAAAGCTACTTTTGAAAATTATTCCTTTTAGATGAAAAATAATGTAATTTTATGTAAGAGGATATCTAAATCACCTCCATTAATTTCACAGATATTATTTTGTAGGGTTGGTGACATGAGAGAAGGGAACGAGGATGGGGAAGCCCATGCCACGCGTACTGGTTCTCCTGTTTCTGTTGTCTGTGTTAACTATGGTCGTCATCACTAGATGGGGTCTCGTTATGGACAACATCTCAACAACTGTCCCCCAGCAAACCCGGCACACCAGAGAATTATTCCAGGCCGCCATTGAGGAATCGGAAAAGAGACACCAGACCAGGATTGAGGAACTTCAAAGCAGAATCAAGGACCTGGAGGGGATTCTTAATTCCCAGAGGCTACAGCGTGAAAATGTCACTGCCAGCATGAACGAGTCAGAGAGTAAAAGTAGCATAGTACATAAGTACCTCAGTGATAAACTTCAGGCAGCTGAAATTCTTCATGGAGTGGAACTGAAAAATGAATTTGAGATGACAGCCTTCAACAGATTTACACTTCACAGGATTTATCTGGTGGATCCAGGACTGGGAAAGCGAGTGGTGGAGAAACCTATAGGTTCAAAGAGGAGGGACTTATATGAAGTCATCTCCTACAGCGTCGGTACACTTAATGAACAACGAAAAAATATGTCCAAAATTTTCACCATCAGTGATTTTATAGAGGGAATATATAGGACAGACCCTGCTTCTGGGACTCACTATGAACTTTATTTCAGAAATATCAATTCCAAAGAATCAGGGAGATACTCAAAAGTTGCCATTCTTAAACCATTTGGTCCATTAATGACTGCCATCAATACAACAGTTAGAACTAGAGAAACTTGGATAAATATCATACTTCCTTTAAAGGGAAGGTTGGATTCTTTTGAAATATTTATGAAAAACTTTGTAGATGTTTGCATTGCAATTGACAAGCATATTTACTTAACCATTGTTTACTTTGGTAAGGAGGGGTTGGACACTGTGAAAAATATAACAAAAAATGTCAGTCATACCTATGGATATAAATTCATGAGGGTCATCAACGTGAATGAAGAATTTTCAAGGGGAAGAGGACTTCAGATTGGAATGGAAACCTGGAGGAGTAAGGATGTAGTTATATTTATGTGTGATGTGGATATTATATTTAATGCTGAATTCTTAGAGAGGTGTCGACTTAACACTGAAAAACAGAAGAAGGTTTACTATCCTATTGTTTTTAGCTTATTTAACCCAAAACTGGTGTATTCTCTAGAAAACAGGACGATTCCATCTATCAAACGACAGTTAGTGATCTCCAAGACCACAGGGTTTTGGAGGGACTTTGGTTATGGAATGACGTGCCAGTACCTCTCGGATTTCAGGGCAGTGAAGGGATTCAGTGAAGGGATAATAGGCTGGGGCGGAGAGGATGTGTTTTTGTATAAAAAGTATGTCCGCAGTAATATGATTGTGGTCAGAGCTACAGATCCAGGCATATTTCACCTGTGGCATGACAAGGTGTGTCCAGTCACTTTGTCAGCTGACCAGTATAGGGGCTGTATCCGGTCCAAGTCTTTTAGCGAGGCCTCGCATGCACAGCTTGGTATTCTGGCCTTCAAGGACCAGATAGACATTCAGAAACTCCATAGGAAAAAGTAGTCTTTCTTCCATTGTGTTTTTTCTAATCTTTTACTTTATTATTATATTGGGGTAAAATTTGAGAGATTCTTTACAACAATGCCACATGGTAGATGATTAAATTCCCATATTTAGGACATTTTATGAATTGTCAAGGAGCTTAAGATTGAACACCTGGTAGGGTGATATTCCAGCTAGGGCAGCTACTTTTGAGAAGTTATAATTGTCATTGCTATACTTACTAAGTGCATTGAATAGAGAAGTCTAGGAATTATCAACCATATATCCCTCTGTAAATTACTGCTCAGACAATCACTCAATCAGGGAGAAACATACACTTCATCTTACAGAATTTTAAGTCTTTTTGTTTAGAATTTAACATTTTGTCATTTTGGTCTAAAATAGTCTTATAATTATAACACTAACACTTCAATCTTTAAATGTTCACTAAAAATTATCAGTAGCCAAATCTATCAACAGAAGACATTGCACAATTTAGGTTCTTTGAAAGGGGGGGGGGGGTTCTTTGTTTTTATTTGGTGCTATTCTATTTCAATATAATGCATTTTCATACATATCCCTCTAGACTACATTTAGGAATTGACGTGATTTCACTTTGCTCTATTTTTAGTCATTTCTCTGTATGATATGATTGTGTTCACATAGAGAAATTCTAGTCTTATTAAATCAGCATTATAACTTTTATACATTCTGTGGTTGTATTGCCTGGCAGCACTTGTTTTCTTTATGGAATAAAAAACTCTTGATATATAGAAATATTTGTCATTTTTAATACTACAATGTAATTAGATTGTTGTATGAGAAACAAATAATAGACAAGCTAATTCAGGGAGTATTTGTCTTCCACTTATTGACAATAGTGGAAGACATAAAAAATGCAGATGAAGAAAGAAGAGGGTGATTGACCTTGACCTATCAAACGTTTGGCCTTAAATCAATAGAGGGCCTTGCGTTAACAGATAAATACGAATCTCTGACCTTGGCCTTTGACTTCCAAATCAACTTACTGACCAAAATATCATTACGAAAGCTAATAACTAAAATTATCATCTGGAAAATTGTTTATGCAATATATGAATTTCCGACTTTGATATTTTGACTTTAGAATCAATAGGGGTTTTCTCAGGCACGTAGTATCGGGGGGAGGGGAGGGGCATTGACCCATTTTCAATATAATGTAAATTTAAAAGTTACAAGCAGAATTAAATTTTGGTCTTAGTCGTAAGTTCTTCTGTAAAACGGGTACCTGTTCTTTATCAAAGTGGTAGGGAATTGTATGTTCATTGCATATTCTCAAAGAAAACTTAAAGAAAAGATATCATTTCTAAACCATTTTATGCAATATATGATTTTTTTAACCTTAAACTTTGACTTCAAAATGATCAATAGTGGTCTTTTTTATGCCATTGGCAGTACCTGTTAGGGTGTAAAAATTAATTGCAAAGTTTCGGAGAACTAATCATCTGGAAACCATTTTATGAGATATCTATAAATTTCCTACCTTTGACTTCAAAATCAAAAGGTGCTTTCTTCTAGTCAAAGGAAGTTCTGATGTCATATTTCATCACAAAACCTTAAAGAGCTTTTTGAGATCTTGTCCGGAAGTAAGTGTTTCAAAAGACAGAATGACGGACAGATTCAACTTTTAGCGAGAGCGGGGACTCCAATATATAAGATGAGATGCCCGTGAGCCTTCTCCATAGAATATTCCTGCAACAAAAGCAACCACCCCCCAAATATCTAACAATAAGTTGAAAACCACAAAATTTCATGACTCTACGTTTGTGGTCAAGTATGCTTTCTCAAATACTACAATACTGGCTTTCAGTTTATGTCTATATCTTATGGCCTAAGAAGTACATGATTTCATTTATGATCAAAAATTATTTTTGATAAACAGAAATCATGCCATGTCATTTCCTTTGAACCAGTTGATCAAAACTAATGATGTGAAACACGTCTTCATCAGACAACCCAAGGGCTGATTCAAACCATCCCAAAACCATTCTCAGGTTGCATTGAAAACCAACATTCTTGTGTATGACAAAATAAGGCATGCCGTTTCACCCCATGCCCAAAAAGTTTTTTAAAAAAACTTCTGGTGCATGCTTTGTAATCATTTTAACTTTAATATGAAACGCAGGTTAAGTTTCTGAATTTATATAATGCTCAATGTTACATGAAGGAAAACCCTGTTATTGACATTATCAACCCTCCAAAGTATTAAAATTGCTAGAAGAGTATGTAACTTTCTAAAAAAGTGCTTTGATATAAGAAAAGAAAAAACTTCAACATAACTGATATGCGTACTGGGTTGATTTACTGTATGTTAATTGTTGTATTCATGACTATATGCCAATGTATGATGGTGTTGTCAGTAAATCAATTGAAATTGAATTATTTCATGTTTGAAATCGTACTGTTTTGTACCAAGTGCTGCTTTCTACGAACATGTTATACATGGAATAAATGTCCCTCTGCTTTTTGACTGAACTATATCCCGTCAGGCTCGTAGTACAGTGGGGGCCCAGTCTGACTAAAGCCAGACCCTACTATTTCACTTCGTGGAAGGGTCCCTACAACAAAGTGAAATAGTAGAGACTGGCTTGAGTGAGTCTCTTGAGTCTGCTCCCCTTTTTTGTCGCAGTATGGTTGAACTCTGATAAATTCTTGCATTAAGACAAGATATGTTTGTAAAATACTGATGCCTCCGTATGACAACTTATAATAAAGGTTAAACTTTCTCAAATGCAAATTAAATATGTTGGTACCTAAAGTAAGGTTTTGTCTCGAGGAATATACCTGTGAAATATGAAAACCCTAGCAGCAAAAATTAAATAGATATATGAAAAAGGTTAAAGTTTTGCAAAAGTAAGTCAAAAAAGGTCAAATGGTCAAAATTAATGGTGCCCAAGGAAAGGCCTTCTCACAAGGAATACACATGTGAAATATGAAAGCTGTAGCACCAATCGTTCAAAAGTTATGGCCAAGGTTAAAGTGTTTTAAAAGTAGGTCAATGGATTACAATTGTTGGTATCAAAAGGAAGGTCTTGTCACAAGGAATAGACGTTAAATATGAAAGTCCTAGCTTTCAAAAGTTATATTCAAAGTTAAAGTTTTCCAAAAGTAGGTCAAACTCCAAGGTCAAAGGGTATCCAAAGAAAGGTCTTGTCACAAGGATTACATTTGTGAAGTATGAAAGCCCTAGCACCAACCGTTCAAAAGTTATGGCCAAGGTTAAAGTTTTCCAAAAGTAGGTCAAACTCCAAGGTCAAGTTCAAAGGGTCAAAGTTGATGGTATCGAAAGGAAGGTCTTGTCGCAGGGATTATATATTTAAAGTATGAAAGCACTAGCACCAACCACTCAAAAGTTATGGCCAAGATTAAAGTTTTTTTCAAAAGTAGGTCAAACTCCTAGGTCAAGGGTCAAAAGGTCAAATTTGTTGGTATCCAAAGAAAGGTTTTGTCACAAGGATTACACATGTGAAGTATGAAAGCCCTAGCACCAACCGTTCAAAAGTTATGGCCAAGGTTAAAGTTCAGTAAAATTTTGCAAAACTGGGTCAAACTCCAAAGTCAAGTTAAATATGATGGTACCCAAAGAAAGGTCATGTCACAAGGAATACACAGGTGAAATTTGAAAGCCATAGCACCAACCAATTAAAAGTTATGGGCAATGTTAAAGTTTTTGCGGACAAGCAGACAGGCGGACGGACGGGGCAAAAACTATATACCCCCAAATCTTCGATACGGGGGCATAAAAATACGAAAAGTTATAGACACCCCCTTCCGACATAGGATTTTCAAGTATGCTTGTATGCTTAAGCATGCACATTAGTCATTTCCATAACAAACAAGATGTGTTTGTGAAACACTGATGCCCCCGTGTGGCAACTTATAGCAAAGGTTAAACTTTCTTAAATGCAAATCAAATATGTTGATACCCAAAGTAAGGTCTTGTCTCGAGGAATATACCTGTGAAATATGAGAGCCCTAGCAGCAACCATTGAATAGATATGGAAAAGGTTAAAGTTTTTCAAAAGTAAGTCAAACATAAAGGTCAAGGTCAAATGGTCAAATGAATGGTGCCTAAGGAAAGGCCTTCTCACAAGAAATATACTGGTGAAATATGAAAGCTGAAGCACCAATCGTTCAAACGTTATGACCAAGGTTTAGGTTTTTCAAAAGTAGGTCAAACTTCAAGGTCCAGGTCAATGGATTACAATTGCTGGTATCCAAAGGAAAGTCTTGTCACAAGGATTACAAAGGTGAAGTATGAAAGCCCTAGTACCAACGGTTCAAAAGTTCTGGCCAAGGTTAAAGTTTTCCAAAAGTAGGTCAAACTCCAACATCAAGATCAAAGGGTCAAGGTTGTTTGTCTCCAAAGGAAGGTCTTGTCACAAGGATTAATAATGTTAAGTATGAAAGTCCTGGCACCAACAGTTCACAAGTTATGGCCAAGGTTAAAGTTATTCAAAAGTAGGTCAAACTCCAAGGTCAATGTTGTTGGTATCCAAAGGAAGGTCTTGTCACAAGAATTACACATGTGAAGTATGAAAGCCTTAGAACCAACGGTTCAATAGTTATGGCCAAGGTTAAAGTTTTTTTCAAAAGTAGGTCAAACTCCAAGGTCAAGGTCAAAGGGTCCAAAGGAAGGTCTTGTCACAAGGATTACATATGTGAAGTATGAACGCCTTAGCACCAACCATTCAAAAGTTATGGCCAATGTTAAAGTTTTTCAAAAGTAGGTCAAACTCCAAGATCAAAGGGTCAAAGTTGTTGGTATTCAAAAGAAGGTCTTGTCACAAGAATTACACATGTGAAGTATGAAAGCCCTAGCACCAACTGTTCAAAAGTTATGGCCAATGTTAAAGTTGGGTAAAATTTTGCAAAACTGGGTCAAACTCCAAGGTCAAGGTCAAAAGGTCAAATATGGTGGTACCAAAACAAAGGTCTTGTCACAAGAAATACACATGTGAAATATGAAAGCCATAGCTCCAACCAATCAAAAGTAATGGGCAATGTTAAAGTTTTTGCAGACAAACAGACAGACGGACGGACAGGGCAAAAACTATATACCTCCGAATCTTCGATACGGGGGCATAAAAATGAAAACTGGTTTTGGAAATTGTCATTAGTTAACATTATATTGAGAAATTTTATACAAAAAATAGGTCATCTGGTTATCCGAACCATCCTCTCCAGTTATTGCACAGAAATAGTCTTAATACCAGGACACCAGAAGCATCTATTCTACATTAAGCAACTTGAAATTTGAACACCCCAACCCCCTGTATTCTCAAGTTATTTCAACATTCTTTTCTGAGTGACAAGTCACATCGATCTTTGACCCCTGATCATAATATCTATGGCTGACCACTTTATCAGAACAATCAGAATTTGAGACATAAAGGCATCCCAGTTTTAATCCAAAAGAATTTCAAGTTTCTGTACAACCCTACGACCCTCGAAGATCTCCCAAGCCCATTACATCGCTGTACGTCGACCTATAGAGATTATAAACCAATTTCCAAGATATTCCAAAGAAACCAAAATTCTAAGCAGTTTGTCTGATAGATGTCCAGATGAAAAGATTTTCGAAGATAAATGCGTTTTCATTTTAAAATCAGATTAGTCCCATACAGGGCCTGAACGTTCAATGATCTTTTTTTTCCAATGGACAGAAAACACACAGAAAGCAAACCCGGTTTCAAAAGGTTCAGCAATTT